TTCGATATGCGAGTAAACAATAAGTTGTTTTTATTCTAGAGCGTTCATTTCTCTGGGCCACCACAATAAATCATGCAAAAACCATTATTTTTATATTTATTGTATTAATTCAATAAAAAATGAAAAAAGCAATAGCCACATGAAAAATGTTCAAAAAAGAAAATTAAAATTAATTATTGTTCCAGATCAGGAACACAAAGCAAACAATTTAGATTTAGATTTATACAATATTTTTACCATTCAGATGGTAGACGTCAGCATCTTGTATTTTCTATCGAATAATTAGCATCGAGAAAACGCAAAGGGCGACGATGACAACTTGTCATTGACAAGCAACGTTGACAGTAGCGCCATGGTGCGGTTGCCAGTGAAACTAAAAAATGACACAAATTTCGATCGCCTAAATCAAAAATGGTACAAATTAGTTCAAAAACTGTTAAGATTGATTGAATCGAAAGCAAAATTAAAGCGATAAAGTTCAAAAGTAATAAAAAACAAGAAAACTCGTAATTGTTCATTTATTATTTTTATTGTTAAGTTTGGTTCAATAAATACCATAGGACGAGCCTAAAAGTGTCTTTTATATGTATTTATATGCAAACGTCATTCTCTGAACTTTAGAAGAATCCCCCTACACTAATGTAAGAGGAACTAGAAGAAATGGTGAGGAACTAGAAGAAATGGTTTGTGCATTGGATAAATTTCCACTATTGTATATTAAATAAGACATGAACCACCACACATTTTCATTAGTTCGATGTTTATAGGATAGATACAGCGCCATTCAATGTCTGACAACTATACTTGTCCTATGATAAATACTTACTTTTTTCTAGTTGTTTATTATTTATTTTCAATGCATATCATGCACAGAGACATTGAATAAGCACGAATCATTTATTGTAAACAATAAACATTGTAACAATTATATTGGTCAACGTTAAATCGTAATGAATAAAGAGTTGAACGCTCTAGAGTAAAAACAACTTATTTTTTGGTCGCATATCGAAGAGAGACTTGAAACGGGTGCATATCAAAGCAAGACAATATTTTGTTAACAAAGGAACATTGATTTTTTATTATACAAAATATGTTAGTTTCGTTTTGTACTGATAACTAGCTACTGTTCTGCCATGTTTTAGTAACAGAATTTTGTTTCGCTTTGATTGGCGACGCGATCCGATATGCGACCAAACAATAAGTTGTTTTTATTCTAGAGCGTTCAGTTAGTTATTGACGAACTGACGTGGAGTTTGCTTTAATTCAATACTAGTTTTTCCGAGTATCACTTACAGTCGGCTTTCAACGCGACTCGATTTAAGAAGCGCCATCTCTTCCACGCCAGGTTCTCATATATTTTTTTCTTGCAAAATTGTATAAATTGAATAAGTTTTGCAATAATATTAACGAAAATAATTAATAGAATTTATAATAAATAAAAAAATTGAAAAAACACACAAATATTTTATATTATATGATTCACCAGAATAGCTTCACTTCGTGTTGTTTACGTTGTTTCTTTTGACAGATATCAATGTTTGACAAAAATCCATTTTTTTTTTTGAAATTTTTGTATGAAAAGTGTATCGAAAGTTATTTGTATCGCAAAACTAACGTCATATTCGGTTTTCTCGTACCCAAAAACCCCCCAATACATATTTTTGAGTGTTTAAGAATACATTAAATATCAATTTTGGAAGAAAAATTGAATTTTTCCCATGGATGGCCATGGGCATCACACCAGACATGACACTTCACTCTATCAACCAAATTCTCTCAAAATCCAATGGTTTCTATTCCTCGGTACCCCCAATCATCCTGTGAAGTCAGATTTTGAATTACGTTTCTTGTTTGAAAGTTATCGTGTTAACAAATTTTTGCGTACAGGGTACAGGGTACGCACATACATTCGGACATCGAAAAAACAATAGATTCGTGTTCCCTGGCCCCAAAAACATCCAGAAAACACATTTTTGATGGGTGTTAATTTTTCGACCGATTCCAATACTTTAACTTACACACTAGGTGTGTGCGGAAAAGTAATAGAACGTTAAAAAGCGTAAATTATATCACGACTTTTAAATGAAAATCAGATATTATTTTTGATAGCGAATTCTATAATGTTGTCGAGCAGTTGAGATTGTCATTTGATTTCAGATGGCAACGCAATCATGGCGGTTAAAGCATACATTTGATCTAGATAGATATTTATTACAGCTGATTTTAAATGTTAATCATTTCAAACAGCGAAACCAATGCCATGTCCAGAATATACAGCGACCGAGCGAAGAATTGTCTCGTCAATAGCGGATAATGAATGTTATTTTTTATCAAGTCGTAGAAAAGTAATATCGATGTAAAATGGTAAACAGATCTACGCACGTCATTTCATTTGTTGAATTCAAATTTTGCGTCACTTATCTTGGCATCATTTATAATACGTGCGGTCAATTTTGGTTTTCTACTGTAAAAGAATACGAATTGTTTGAGATTATCTCTTTTGAAATTCGAGAAAATATAATGTCATTTAATTTATAGCTGTCTATAAAATTTTATCGACTTCTTTCTCTGAACGCATATAATAATCAAATAAAAATAACCTTTGTAGAGGTGAAGAACAAGTGACGAATGCAAAATTTGAAATATAACTTTACCTGCTGAATGTTACAATAATAATTATTGAATAATTGAATTCAAATAAATTGAATTTTCTAATTTTACGAATTACACACTAAACATTTTAAGGGGGGTGGATTTGATTTGGAAATCGGCAGAAAATTTTTCGTTTTTTTTGGAAGGCACTTTTTCGGCGAGTATCCCTAGCAAAAAACCCAGAAAATTCGAATAATTTTCGCCGATTACAAGAGGGGTAACTCAGAATAAACGAAAACATATTTAAACCGAACGCAAAGTTGCCTTGCATATTATTTATCTCTCTCCCGAACAGATAAAAGGGGTAAATGAATGTTAGATAATAATTGTTAAAACAGTCAAAATCTGCAAGAAATTGATTTGAAATTAAGAATAAATCTTTTTCGTTTTAACTTAAATGGAAAAACAATATTCCGTATATACGAATCAAGTAGTACGTAGACCATCATTAGACAACTAGACATATACATTTTCATTGGTAAAATAAAGAAAAACTTTTTTTTCTGCATTACCGCACACTAATGAGTATGACAACCAAAAGTATTGGAATCAGTTAAACTATTAACATTCATACAAAATGATTTTGCTTAGCGTTTCGGGCAAAAACAGCGGTTTTTTTATGTATAATTTTGATGCGAGAAATGAGGCTCGTATGAGAGACATGATGACGTACCAACGATTATAAAAATTCTTATACTCAGATTTCGTGACCAACTTACGAACGTTCTTTTCTGTTTACGTTTTGTTCGTTCGTTCGTTCGTTCGTAGAAAATCAAATCGAATATGTGGCCAATTCTTTGTTCGTATACGTTTTAAATGGTTGTGGTGAATCTTAATTCGGTATTTTGTGTAATTATAGTGGCTCTAATTTTCTTTTGTAGTACGGTATGCTTGCTTTCAAGTTACGTACAGTTTGTTCAATTTTTTTGAAGCTTTTGTTCGAGTGCAACTTTTTGAAGCTTTTGCAAAGCGATGCCTGCCTTTGTTGCATCACTTGAACCGTTCCGAGTAAGAGGTACAATAGAGAACTTCAGTGAAATTCATAGTGAATTCCCAAAATTTTTGCTAATTAGTGAGATTTTTTTTGAAATTTCAAGTAAATTCTTGCTGCATATTGAGCAGCAAGCAAGAGCAGCCAAAGAAAAACTGCTTGAGCAAGCAAGAGTTTTACGGTTTGCTTCCACGTACGTAGAGAAGTACTAAGTTGTGAACAAATATAAACTCTTTAAATCTTTTACTCAGACTTGCATTTCATCTATCTTGTAGAACTTTATAAAACTATGAATTCTCTTGACGTCAAAATCAAAAATGTATTTGAACAAAGTATTGAAATATTGCTTTGACTGAATTTTTGGCTGTTGGGCCAGAAAGTTCTAAGTCAGTCGAAATTGCATTGTAAATGACCACTGTTTGAAAAGTTGAAAATGATATGATAATTATTAATTAATTAAATTCTAAACATCATATTGAATTTTGATTGCGGAGACTCGTTCGGCTGCTTGCAAACATAAATCATCGAATGCGCATGTTGTATCAGTTATAAGGGAATAACCTTGAAAAGGGTTTTTTAAGTGATGAATATTTGATTTTTAAAATATTTTATTCTCACATTTTGACATTTTGGCTGTGATTGAACAAATTATCAAAGAATTGGAGTTAAATTTTACATTGAAATTTTAGTATTCTATAAATTAAAATAACAAAATATAGCATTTTTAGTACCAAGATGTAGCAAACCAAATTGAATCAGCTCACATCAAATCTTTTCATCGCTTAATAATATATCGTTTAACTTTGAAACATGCACATGCACATGCACATGCTTCTAAAAATTATTTTCTCTTTAAATTGCAAAATGTATAAAATCATAAAACAATAATAATTTATTTAAATATTCTTAAATTCGAATGGATCATCACAGGATTATCACAGCATTTTCATTACTTGTCCTCCTGACCCTGATCTCCGTCTTGGTCCTCATCTTGTTGAATGCTGTTGTTAATTTCATCTTCAGTCGTGTCATTTCCAGAGAAAGACGCTGACGACTGTTCCGGTTTCTGTTGGCTTTGTAATGTGTTTTGTGACATAAACATTGATTGAGATGGTACTGCTGAATCAATTGTACTAAACTGACTTGATGGTATTGCCTGCAATTTACATAACAATTGATTTTTGATTAATTAGAATTTGAGTGCTTTACAAATTGCCTCAGAATGGAACCAAAAGTTCATTTCAATTTCTACATAGATACATCGAATGGATTCTTACCTGTGAACCGCTTGGAATTGGCAATGGTGGTACAGCATTTTCAATAGTTATTGCATCAGTACAATCATCTATTTTATAAATTCCAGTCAGATAGTCAGCCAACTCGAACATATTCGATCGCAATGAGATGATAATGAATTGTGCATTTTTGGTGCGTTCTTTTATATAGTTGGCAACAATGGATACATTTTTGAAATCAAGAGCCGCATCGATTTCGTCCATGAAATACAATGGTGATGGTTTATAATAGTGTAACGCAAAAACCAACGCAAGAGATGCCAGCGTTTTTTCTCCGCCCGATAGATTTGAAATATTTTTCCAGGACTTGCGATTGGGACGAACACTGAACGAAATGCCTTCGCTAAATGGATCCATTGAGTCAACCAATTCCAACTCGGCACTACCCCCTTGCGTTATCATCGTATACATTTCCTTCAATTTATGTGTTATAATGTTGAAGCCACTCATGAATTCATTGTAACGCCGCTTTTTGACATCGTCGAGTAATTTTCGCATTTCATTTCGTTTGGTTGTAATGTCTTCCAACACCTTTATGCGTTCCATATACACGTCGAGCTTCTTCTGATATTCATCGATTACATTTATATTAAGTGTCTTTGATTTCAGTTCACCCTCAATAACTTCAACGCGATACTGAATTTCATCGATTGAATATGTGGCTAATTCTTCGTTCGTATACGTTTTCAATGGCTGTGGTGTGTCTTCATTCGGTAATTTATGTAATTTAAGTGGTTCTAATCTTTTTTTGTAGTACGGAATGCTTGCTTTCATGTCACGTACCGTTTTTTCAAATTTTTTCACCGTTTGTTCGAGTTCAACGCGTTGCAATTTAGCGTCTGACTCTTGTTTTTGCAATGCGATGACCTCTTTTGTGGCATCACTTGAACCATTCCGAGTCTCGGACAATTGTTTAATGATGTTTTGTAAGCGTTCATCAATTTCGGCCGCATCGTTTCCGGCCTGTGCTCGCTCTTCATGCATTCGTCTCAAATCATTTTGAGCATTATCGATGTCTTCCTTCATTGTGGCAATGTTTTCTTCGGCATTTTTTACATTTCGTTCCGATGCTTCAGTTTCGACCTTTAATTTTGTCACCTGATTCGACAACTTTTTAATTTGTTTTTCCAAATTTTGAACGGATTTTTCAACTGCACCAATTTGATCTTCGGTCATTGTTTCAATTTCCTGATTAACCGCATCAACTTGATCTTGTAAAATCTTGGTGTCCCCCTGACATTTATCGAATACCTTTTTGCGTTCGGCGATTTCACTATTTAGATCGGCAACCCGTTTTTCATCTGAACGTGTTTCTTCCATGATTTTGCGTTGATCTTCGAGTTGGGTTTCGAGTCCTGGAATTTGTTGTGCATATGCTGTTATATCTGTCTTGAATCGTTTCAAATTTGCCTCCTCTTTTGGCAGCTTTGCCTTTAATTCGGCCAATGTTTTTCCTTTTTCCCCCTGCATTTGCTGTGCATAGTTAATTCCATTTGCGATATCTTGTACTTTTGCACGTAATTGATCGAGATCGTCAATGGTTGTGTTGTTGCCAACTGATGTGTTATGTGATGTAGCCGTTTTGGTTTTTACTTGTTCGCCCATTTTGCCACGAAATTGCCTACCACCACCTCCGGACATCGTGCCGGACGTTTCAATTACCTCGCCCTTCAATGTTACAACACGATAGCGCTTTGTACCGTATGCAATTCTCGTTGCTTGATCCATGTCGTTTGCAACGAGAGTATCTCTCAAGGCAAAGTAGAATGCTGAGGCCAATCTTTCATCTTCGATACGAACCAAATCATATAGTCGTGACGCATTTTCAGGCCTGTTTAGAAATCAAGATGATGGTAATGGATTTGTGATATTTTTTTTGGTTTAGATTACGTACGTTTGAATTGGACCGGCATGCTCAGCATAATGTTCAATCTTTTCCAAAGCGATGAATGCTGCACGTCCAATGTTATCTGCTTTCAAACTGTTTATACACTTTTCGGCTGTTTCAACTGTGTCGACAACAATGTTATCAAGACGTCCACAGCATGTTGATATGGCAACGTCATACTTATTATCAATGCCACCCAAATCTCCCTACAATATATTAGAGAAAAAGAGATGCGTTTTTTGTTTAATTGGAATGATATTCAAGTGATATTTACCAGACGACCCAGTACACCTGGTAGTTCTCCTTGAATTTTCTTTTGCATTAAATATTCAAGGACTTTATTGTTGGATCGAGCTTGCTGTATCGTATGTGACTTTCCTTCAATCTGGAAAACATAACAGTGGGCATTTATTTTCGATTCAAGTGATGCATTTCAATGAGATAACCTCACATTTGCCAGAAGTCCCTTATCAAACGCCCGACCGACGACCGGCCCAGCCTAATTCGAGAATATTTCGAGTTGAGCGGGATTTAGGCCGGTTACTTCGGGTGTTCGGAACTTACAAATTTTTTTGGGGATCATGTGCCAGTTACTCTGAATATGTGTGAAAAAATGGTAACAATTAACATACCAATGAACGAAGATTGGCCACTTCAATTTTGAGTTTGTTCTCTTCTGTTTTAAATGCATGGATTTCCTGTTCACATTTGGCAATATCGTCTCTAATCCCTGGTATAACCTTTTCACCTTCGGTTAATTCCTCACGACGTCTTTCCAATGTTTCCTTTGCATTTTTCAATGATTCTTCATACATCTCATATTTTCTCCTCTCGGTGGATTCAGTCTGTTGAACCAATTTCAATTCATTTTCACTGACATCCAAATCGGCTTTGGCTTGATCTTGAGCTAATTGAACGTTGGCCAGCTCTTCTTCCAATTGGTGTTTTTTCTCTGTCAATGGTTTTATCTCATCTTGAAGCTTCAAAAAATTGCGCTGCAATAAATCTTTAGCTTCGTCCCTTTCATGCGTAAAACGTTCGGCTTTCTTTTCACAGTCGAGGATTTCCTTTTCATTCTTGGCCGGGACACGTTTCAATTCTTCTAGTTCGGCCTCCTTCTTTTTTACCATTTCTATGATTTGTTTTCGACGGTCATTCGTCGCTTCCATTGATGAGTGGACTTCATCATATTTTCTGTCGGCATTTTTCTTCATTTGTTCGTGATCTTCTTTTTTCTTCAAAATTTGCTCATAAACTCTACAAATGACCGATAGAAAATCGACAATATGGACAATCATCATAAAAACACACACATAAAAATATTTACGCCATTTCAGCTTTGATGCCTTCCTCTTTTTCCCTCCGTTCTGCGATGATGGCCTCATATTTCATGTCGTGCTCTTTCAAATCTTTTGCTTTCTCCTCCAAATCGACCTCACATTTTTCCAAGCTCACTTGAGTGTTGTATCTGCGTTTGAAAAAAAAATTGGAAAAAAATCAGTGCAAATATTTCCAATCATTCAAGCTATTGAACATACATGTGTATCTGTGTTTCCTTGTTTTTCGTTCGAGCTAAATCGTTTTCCAATTTCAAATATGCAACAGCCTCTTCCATGGGCTCCTTCAAATCGTTCAGCTCACGTTCGGTCAATTTGCAGCGATTATGCTTTTCGTCTCGCTCTTCGGTCATGACGTCAACACGAGTACTAATTTTCTGCAATGGTTCCTTGTACCGTTTTGTACCGATGATGTCTTCCAAGTACTCCAAAAAACCACTTTCGTTTTCGTTCTGAGCTTTGGGCTTCATCATTGCAATCGATTCAACTTCACCCTTAATGACAGATGAGAAAAAAAAATCAACAATTCATCGTATTTGGACAATTTTTATGGATCTTACCTGCAATATTAAGAATCGATTGTAGTCCAAATCGACGTTGTATTTCTTGAGCAGAATTGCCACATCCTTGAATTGTACACGCCGATCATTGATTGTATAATATGATGAATTATTCTGATGCACTACACGTGTGATAAAAAATGCACTGCCTTCCACTGTTTGATATGTTCCATCACTACGGTCTTCGATTCGTGCAAAATGAACAGCCACACTACAACTGTCAATGTTCGGAAATTTTTTCGATTTGTGTATCATCAGCGAGAGTTTTTTGCATCGGATTTTATTCGAACGATAACCAAATACAAACAACATTGAATCGATAACATTTGATTTTCCGCTCCCATTCGGTCCAACGATGGCCTGAAAACACTGTTGATTGCAAATCGAATCGGCATGAGCATTGATTATGAGAGAAAACTGAATTCATAAATGAAATTACTTGACAAAATGGTCCCAGCATTACATCGCCCGCATAACTTTTGAAGTTTTTATTCATAATATGGGTTATGATGAGCCGAGATCCATGTGATTCACTTGAACAGTACGGTTTGATTGGTGGCGGTATGAAAATGTCACCCACGCGATATCCACCTATCGATTAACATGATGATAACAATTTTTTTTCTGTCGAATTCAATTTCGTTTTGTTACCTTCTTCATCTTCATACATAGACGCCGGATCGTCGTCTTCATCCAGCTGCGATTGATCGCTGGGTCTTTCTGCTGATTCACTTTGGCTTGGTGCGGCTGTTTGAATACCGTTGGATTGATTACCGTCGGCATCACCGCTACTTTTTCGTTCGTCTAACGGCGAGCTCATTTTCTCTCTCTCATGCAAATCTTCGAAACGAAATATTTCATCGATTTTTTGTTATTTCCATTGCGAACGATTGCAAATGTGATTTTCTTTTTACTTACCTGAATCAAACTATAATCGAATCTTTTTTCTAGAGAAACGCCGAGAATTCGATTTTCAAATTCGGAAACCGTTTCTCTCTGGATAAAACAGGGTCGAAAAAATAAATAAATAAAAAAACCGATAAAAAATGAAAATTAAACGAAAAAAAATAACCGGATTTTCGCGAAATAAAACGGATAAAAATGACTATTGCTTGCCGAGTATATTCTAATAGGAAAAGACGATGCACTTGCGACGGCTGTACGATACAAACAATTTGGTACTGTCAAAACTCGGTTCGAAGAGAATTTTGGCGCGAATCACACATAACCTCATTTTGTATGCAAATAGTGTACGAAAGCCCGACTTTAGCCCGAATACATATTTCAGATTTGGTCAAACGGTGGAAAATCATGATTTTTATAGATTTAATTGATTTAATTTCATTTTTTGTGTATTATTGCTTTTAAATTCGATACCGAAAATGATTACGCGTAAGTATCGTTGATATTAATTTAGTAATGGTACGTAGATACAAAATCAGTGGATATTTTTGAAATCAATTTTTGCTGTTTTTTCCGGCCCAACCTAGAGAATGAAAATTTCTAGAATAAAGTGACGTGATCTTTTTTTGTTCGCATTTTCAGTATTCATTTTCAGCCATTTCAGCGGAATTCTTGTTTTTATTTTAAGAAAAAGCTATAAATACAATTTTAAATTTTACAAAAAAAAAACGTAAATTGTTTTTGTGAAAATGAGTGAACATGGAAAATGGAACTTACAAAAAACGGATATTTTTGCATGTCAAATAATGATTCAATGAAACTTATGACTTTGCTTAAAACACATTTGATGCTAATGTCGAGAAGCATACAATAACAGAAAAAACTAAACAATTGTATGCGCAATACTAATGAGGCTTGATTCAAAAGGAATTCATTAACTTGGTTGTTTCTTTTTCTTTCCCTTGTTTTCATTTTTTTCACTATAACTTAAGCTAATCGGTTCATTTTTTTCTCTACAAAAAAAATCAATGCCTAATCTCTTAATAGTTGTCGATTTCTGGATTGTATCGGCTCTCTGGATTCGTTTGATCGTGTGATGTTTGTTGACTAGAAGTCGCTTCGTGCATTTGGCTACCTGTAATCGCAAAGAACGAATCCACAATTTTAATATCAATCGAACTGTGATGTTTCAACATTAAAGTGAGCCAGAGCTACTTACTGGAAATGGCATCCTCCACTTTTTTCTTATCGCCTAATATGTATATCGATGTCAACAGGAAGAATACACCGCCAAGTACTTCAATGAAACAGGTTATGAAGAGTGCATATTGCAATGACTGGAATTGAACCAAATCTTCATGCTGCAAAAGAATAATGTCACAAGGTGTCAGAAGGAATTTTGGTTTTTTTTTTTTTTGTCAGACACTTACCGGTGATGATGTTTGAGCTAACGTCTGTGGTGAATCCGTCAAGTTTCCTTGATGATGAAGACCGCTGCTTTTGGCAAAACCACTTCCAGCGTTCAGTGCTGTTTGCAGCGTAACTGATACCTAGAAAAAAATACGATTTTTTTTAAACTGTACTGTTTTTTCAAAACTCCATACTGTAGAATGGTCCGCAAAGTACTTACCACACCAATGAGGTAGGGACTTCCAGCGTCACCGAATGCATGTGATATAAGGATTTGGAAAGCCTCTGCTGTGGAACGTCGATTTGGCATAACAACATACTGTGAATGAATGAAAATATGTGATTAGAATGCGATCACTTCATTGCAAATGCATTTTTTTAATCATCAAAAACGGCAATTTGACAATGCGATATCAAAGGAATCGACCACTTTTTTTTGCGTGCATGGTTACAGATATATCTGACGGAAGTTTGACTGATTTATGCGGAAAAAAAGATTTTAATTGAGACGAACAAAAACAGTGTGTAAAAAAGACAGATTCTAACTAGCAATCAGTTGGTGTTAATATTATTAGTATAATGACATTTATAATGAGTCGCAACTTGTCATGCATACTGTGTTAGTTTGGTTTTACTTCACATTATTTGCACCAGCACCACATTTCGCTATTATTAAACATTCATTAGTCTCCACTATTTGTAGTAATTAAATCGAAAACAGCCAGCAAATCGCGTTGACGTCAATAAAAGTCCAGAATAGAATTGTCTGATCTTTGATTTTATCTAGACCTTTAACTAGAGCCAAATGCAGTTGATACAATTCCAAGGCTGGATGATTGGCTCGAACTACGGTCCGATTTCTGTCTATTCAACAGAATATGCATTGCATTTGAAATGCAACACTGTTTTACAGGGAGTTGTTAAAATGTTTGAAGTCATAACAACACGTCGAATGACGGAAAATGTTAGTTATTAAATGAAATGAATTGCAATTTGCAGAAAAAAAATGGTGCGAACAGCATACCAATTTCAATAATTGCACGGAAATTGTATTGATAATTATGAAGTATCGTGAATTGATTTTACAAAAACCTTTTTGATCTCTATTTTCAATTCGAATTTTTGAAAATTTGTTCAAATTGTAAAATACTTTTTGACGTCAAGGTCCATGAATTTCTTGATTTTAGCAAAATGGCATGCAATTATTTAAAACGGGCACCCTGGATCATGATGTTATAGACCCTATGTACCAAGTGCCATATCAAACAGTGTAAAAGTTAGTGATTTCTAGTGAAACACATGCTTGTTTTTAACATCTGACATGAAAACAAAACAGAGAACGTGAAGGAATTTGAACAAACTAAATGATTTAAATGCGACCCATTGCATGAATTTACTGTTAAAAATATGATTAAAATACCTTGGATTATGTAGAACTATGTAAATACCGACCAAACAAATTTTTGTTAACTAAATAAAAAAAAATGGTGTTTGTTAAATACAAATCTTTGAATTGTTAACTACATTCACCAAAGTAAAGAGACAATTGAACAATGAACATTGCATTTAACCAAAGAAGAAAACCAGTAGTGCATTTGCCCCAAACCGATGGATTGTTTGGAATGATGCCATAGATTGACACAAAATAGAAATAAAACACATGCCGACACAACACTTAACATTAAGGATTTCCACATTCCCAATTGATGTTCGGAGTGTGTTTGTGTTTGCTCTCGAGACATAACAAACAGTATGTAAGAAAAATTTGGGATATATTTATATACATTTTTAAACCATCCACCAAACAAAATATGCACGAACAACAAACATTAACGCATTTACGCAATATGGTAATGTTATGTTTATTCTTTGGATCATTTGCCGGAATGAAATTAATGAGAAGAATCTTTACACATTTTTTTAACACTGAACTAGATAAATCAAACTACAGCGGTTGTGGTTGTTTTGTGTATGTGTGAGAGAGAGAGAGTCACAGTCAGAGACAGAGATGAGAGCAAAAATTCAAAAACGAAAAAAAAACCAAACACAATCTTACCAATAAAATATCAGCGACGATTGCCCAATTCAAATTTAGTGCAATTTCACCGATAAACACTAATACATAGGCAATCGCCTCGTTTTCGGTAATCAATATTATAGCGCCGGCTAACAACGGGGCGCTTATAAATAGACCACAAGCGCAAATGATTGGATCATTTCGGCACGAATCTTTTTTTAGCCTTTGGGATAGGTAAGAACCTAATGGGACTCCAATAATGCCGGATAGCATTGTTATCGCACCAAACCGAAGGGATACACTGTAAATGGAATTTCGATAATGACAATTTTTTGTTGTTGTTTTGTTTTGTATGGGTTAAATGTTTTTGTCAGCAAGAGAAAAAAAATATTTATTTATATAAACCAGAGCAAATGTTGAAGCATTTAATTCGGGGCATTTTGCGTGGCTACATAAGGCAACCGTTAGCATGTGATTAAAAAAAAATATCACACACAGCTTTATAGACACACATAAGCATACACACAATTCATTTGACATTGAAGTTGCAACACAACTCTACACTATATCAAGATAAAGCTGATTAAATTATGGTTCTAAGTCATACACGCATACGGTATTAAACAAAACGTCGAATGGAATTTTAGCTTGCAGCGAGAATAAAAAAATATCAGTCCCTTCAGCGCAACATTTCCTATCAAAATATGTAAAATTTTATACACAGATATTCTACTTAAAGAGTGAAAAAGACAACACAATCTTTCCTAATTACTAAATATATATATAGATGGTTTAATGGTGAATGCGATGGTTAGAAAGTGAAAATTTGAATATGAGAAAGCCTTACTTAGTAGCTAGTTTTTATCAGCAAAACTAAAAAAAAAATATGATGTAAAAAAATGATGATCGATAAAATCAGTTTGCAAACAGTATTATCTCAAAACAGATACAACTGTCCCATTTTAATTTTTATCGAACGATATTATGTCACTATTCTCATTGATGAACGATTATTGTCAAATTTGCCGCAATTCGATTGTTCCCTTCTACATTACGCTGACGGCTTACCAAAAGTATATCAGCAACGATGGACCAACATAAGTTGAGAGCCACTTCGGCTAAGAAAATGACGAAAAAGCACCAGCCATTGCTATAGCGTGCTATAAATAAGGCGATATAAACCAATGGTGCCGATATGAATAATCCCCAAGCGCATATAAGTGGATCGCTATTGTGGCCAGCTCGACGAAAACGTTGGGCCAAATATGAACCAAGTGGTACGCCTATCAGCCCCGATAGCATCGCCACTATTCCAAATTTGTACGACACTCTAAATTGCAAAATTTATTACGTTCATCGTTAACACATCTGATTTTTTTTTAACATTTCTACCACATTGAATATTTTCGCAAACTAATTATGCTAAATTTCTCTTGCATTAAAGCATCAGACATTAATAAAAATGAGATTGTGTGCAGCAGGACAGATATCCGAAAATATCTTGGCAAAATATATACATTTGGAAAGAAATGGATGATTGCATGAAAATTTTGGATATGGACATCAGCCGGTGTATATTTGTATGAGATTGGAGACTTTTTTTTGCGAATCTCGCTAATGAGCGCCATCTGATTTTAGTGTGAATTAGATGCAAAAACTGAATTTAATTCTGTAGCATTGAAATGAAAAAGTGAAAAAACAACAACAATAGCACGGCCACACAGAGCTGTACATCTATGCGTGCTGATGCATACATACACATATACGCTTTCTTCATTCTTTCATTCCATTGCTATACGTATCTCACTGGTCAACAGATCTATGTAGCCATGTTACTGTTGTTGTTTTTTTTCTCTTTTTCGATTCAATTCATTGTAACTTAATTGAGTTCAACTATGGAATACAAGATGGCACAGATGAGGGGAATTCGCATTTTGTCTCTTCATAGGCTTAGCCGGTTGATGGACATAGATTTTAAATGGATTTCACGACACATAAAATGTCAATATTGAATGGAAAATTTGTAGTATGTGTGAAAGCTGCTGACGGTGTTTAAAAGAGAGAGAGAAAAAAATTGTGTGGCTTGGACAGAAAAAAAATGTGATGAAAAACAAAACTTACTCGTCCAATTTCATATCTTTGTTTCCCTCCTGCAATTTTAGACCTTTCAACATAAAATTTGGACCCCACCAAGCTAAGGCACCGGTAACGAATGCAACGCATGTAAAACCCAATGTAGACAACATGAACGAACGATTTTTCGAAATATCTGAAATGAAACAATGTGGAACGAATGACGAAAAGAATGAGTTTTTTTTTTGTATTGGTATGCAATGTGAGTTGTTTTGAGCAGAGAGCGTCAAGGTTATTTATTTACCAACTAAATCTTCTTTGTATGATGTATTTGTGGTATGACTGCCTTCATGTTGGCCACGTTCTGGTTCTTTTGTGAAATAAATTAAAACTAAAGCAATTATTCCTAAAATTGGTGTAACGCGAAGCGCCCATCTCCAGTTTCCAAATGCGGCCGCTGTTTTTGAACCAATTATATACCTATAACATATCAAAAGAAAGTGAAATCATGCGATAATTTGTTTATTATTTGTAAATAAAACGATTTAAAACAAAAAAAAGTTCCGAACAGACAAAACAAAGCTAAAAAATAACAGTTCGCGAAGATGTTCTTATCAATGTACGATTTTGTGCTTTGCATATATGTCCAAACATTGAGAGTTCAATAAGTTTATCAATTGAGCTATATTAACAGTGGAAAACGAAAAATTAAACGAAAAATGTGAAAATCAAATACAATTACAGTGTGTCGCGCACAATGTTTGTAAACAAAATTGATTTAGATTTAGTAATCAATGTTATTGTAGCTATTTTCAACATCAACATTTCGATGTGTTTTTTTTTTTTGTTCAATATATGTTTTCAGTGGAAATTACGTTATAATAGAATTTAAAAGAAGAAGAAGAAACAAAACAATTGTCTGTTTTAAAATAACTAAAGAAATAGATACCGTTTCTTGAGCACATATCTGTTCAAATAATTGCGTTATTTTTCTGTTTTTTTTTTAAGAGCAGTCATTGCAACAACAAAAAAAGAGAACTTACCCAAAACCAGATCCAACTGGTATGGCAAAATAAAATAATGCTAGCATTTTTGAGCGAATGTCATTGATGAACAAATCGGAAATGATTGTTGGCGCAATTGTGCTATAGGAAGCCTCACCAATTCCGACCAATGCACGAAATAACGTGAACGAACCATATGAACCCATAAATGATCCGATTAATGTGGTGGCACTCCATAATGCCACACCTGAGATCATGTTCCAACGACGCGAATACCGATCGCCTAAATAACCAAATACTGGTGCAAAAACCATATATGACAATACAAATGTCGTTTGTAATAGACCCATATAGCCATCATCCACGTCGAACTCTTTCTGGATATCCGTCAGAACGCCTGCAAATCAGAACAGTACAACAATAATTTAATCTACCGTTGTCAACGAAATCATACACTAATTTAAAAAAAACACAGTAGACACAAGTGGGACATGTGGAAATGATCAAATCAATCATTTTATGACAAGGGTTTAATTTTGGTCGTGATAACGATATAAGCCTGCTTGAACATTATCAATTCATGGTAACCATGTCGTAATCCAAAGTAATACCATACTTTATTCTGTAAAGCCATTGACGTCATTTGATACATGCAAAGTAATGGTAATATCGTCAATGCTCGTCATTTTGTCGTGTTAAATTACATTGTTTTACATATTTGCATATATAATTATAATGACTTTGAAGAGGGCCAACCTATCCAAATTCATCTTGTACGTAAATATCCGTTAATATGAACGTCAGAAATGATGATATTTGCGCTTTCCACGCTTTGTTGTCAAAAGAGATTGTTTCTCAGAGCAAGATATGAAAGGTGGAATGCTCTGAAGAGCCAAAGGAACACTGACGAGCAAAAGCCAAAAAATATCTAAAATCATAATATTATCAATTTGAATGATTGTTCTCTTCGGGCTCCTCTGAGCGCTCCTCAACACATATATTGCTCTTATAAGCAGTCTGTGGTTGTCAATCAATTGGTTCCACGCTTTATTGTCAATCAATCAAACATTGTTATATTACAAGATGTTTCTTCTAAATAGCATTCGAAAGTCGTCATCTTATTTGCTAAGAAAACAATGTGTACAAGTACAATGAGTCATTGTCAATGTCCACGGTCATTGGCTAACCGTATCTTATCACACGAAGATATTCGCTCATCACTATCATTCGTGATGTCTAAATTTGGTGGTCAACTATTCAACTTATTATGCGTATATATTATTACTATTATTCTTCAAATCAATAAGACGGTTTGAACTCTGTTGAAAAATGGCGCTGTTTAACGCTACATTATCATTTCTTTTGCTATATTTTGTGAGTGCACATTTTCTTTCACAATTTTCAACGATTTCTGTGAACTTTTTAGAGTAATTATAACAAGAAAAAAAACTATAATTTTCAATCGCTTTTGTACTATATATAGCCTACTAAATTATAATGATATTTCTTTCATTTATACTTAGATTATCCAATGCGGTTCAGCAAAACCCACAAATAGCGAAGAATGTAACTTACATTATGTAAGTACTCAGTTTTAATAATGTATGAAAACTTAGACCCTTCAACGATATAATTCGTGAGATAGAGGAAAAAATCGTATATATAGATTTCACTTGTTCAAAGACGTATGTGTCGATGGTCAACGATTACACCATAAATATCCATCAACATTGAAAGTGTTGAAAATATTTTCCGAACATTCTAGCTAATTATTAAAAAATAGTGATTTTTTTTGAATATTTTATTGCTAGTTTCTTGTCTTCACCTATTCAATCACCTGTTTTCGCGGACTACAGTCAATTCATTGAGGGAATTAGGAGTTCTGAGCAAGCGGGGTTGGCGTATATGAGATTGGGAACTTTTTTATGCGAACGCAACTGATCAGCGCCACCTCACATTAGTTCGAATTAGATCGAAAAACTGAATTTAATTCTGTAGCATTGAAATGAAAAAGAGAAAAAACAACAACAATAGCACGGCCACACAGAGCTGTACATCTATGCGTGCTGATGCATACATACACATATACGCTTTCTTCATTCTTTCATTCCATTGTTATACGTATCTCACTGGTCAACAGATCTATGTAGCCATGTTACTGTTGTTGTTTTTTTTCTCTTTACGATTCAATTCATTGTAACTAATGGGAGTTCAACTATGGAATACAAGATGGCACAGATGAGGGGAATTCGTATTTTGTCTCTTCATAGGCTTAGCCGGTTGGTTCTGAGCATGCCAAATTTTTCTTTAGCTGTAATCCAACGGGTCCATATGGTTATACATGCGCAAATGGAAAAGTTCATGAATACAATGATGGAATCCGAATATTTGCGGAAATTCAAAACGAATTTGACTGCAGAAATTGTTTGGTTCAATCTATGGTCTATTATCAATGTGATTTAAATTGGGAATTTCCAATTAGGCAATATTTGGATAGTCGAACTGTAATGAAACGAAAATCAGATAGAGTTCATTCACAACTATACGTGTATACTGCCAAAAATTATAATAATGAAATGCGAATAATGGAAACCCCGCCTTTTTCTAAAACTATAAAACTATCGCATGATATAACACAGACGTATGGAGCTAAATTAGCGTCAGACGATAAGGTTTTAATCCCATTTGTTGGACAACCCATCCATGTTGAGTTGAATGGAATTTGGGTTATAAAAAATCCAGAAACCAAATTTCACAATATCAGCTTCCGATCTCAACAACTAAGAGTGCCCCCTTTTTCAAAAATGAATTTTTCATATGAGATGGTTAAATACAATTGGTCCTTCGACAGGCATTTTGATTTTGAAATTAACGATGTTTATCCAATGTTTGAACGCTTAAAACATATTATGGCACACCCAAATGGCGATATTGAATATGTTCGATTCTATGTCAATAATTCTAAACCACGAGTAACTACCAAGTTGATATTAATTTTGGACGTGCAGAACCATTGAACCCAAATGAAAAATAACAGAGTATTGCTCAGCGCTGCTGCCATCCACAGCATATTAAAATATCTTGCTGAGAGTGCGTCGTCCGTCGCATGCAAATGTACGTAGCAGTTTATACATCACAGCGAACAAGAATGAATGCAATGTTCTCTTCACGATTATGTCACTCAAATCATTCAAACGATTGTATAGAGAACAATGTATGTATTGTTGTTCAAGGTGATGTTAAAACTGCTACGTACCTTCGCATGCGATGGACGACGCACTCTCAGCAAGATATTTTAATATGCTGTGGATGGCAGCAGCGCTGAGCAATACTCTGAAAAATAATGTTCTTGTAAAATTGATTAAAAGGTCAGGTTTTTTTCATGATTCCGTCTAATTCATTTTTTCCTGCAACATTGTTCAGCCAGCTATTGGCAGTGTTTCATTAATAAATAATTATAAAATGAAGTCAATTGTTTTTATTTGTCAAATTTCCTTATTGATCACCCAATTTGTAAAACGTCAATGGACCGTCTGCTCACAATGCACTCAAGTTAGAAGAACAATATGTGATTCGATAAATGTAATATTCAACACAAAATTGCAGTATTACATACATATTCATTTACAGTTAACGACGTTGAAGAGGTCCAACCTATCCAAATTGATCTTCTACATTCAAATATCTGTTCAAGAAAATATGAGCGTCAGGATGGCACTTCCCACACTTTGTTGCCAAACGCTTGGCATACAAATAAAAAAACGCAAGCATTACATTCATTTTTGCGAAATTCGTCATCTTATTTGTTGTGTACGGTTATTGGTAAACCGAATCGTACGATGATGATTTTGGTAAAATGATCAAACCGAAAGTATAGTAATGACATCATATTTCATTGTTTACATATGAAAAAATATTCAGAATCAAATTTTTCTCTTCTATGAAAAAGCAAAACAAAAAAACAGCCTTTAACGCAAAAGTGTATTGTCATGAAAAATATTCGGTAACGTGTTGAGTGAAGTAACAAAAAAACTGATATGTGGAAACGTGCTTATTCAATTTTATCAATCACGTTGATAGTAGACCTTTGGATCTTGACAATTTATGGAACTTTAATTATCGTACCGATCGAAGTTGTTGATATCAATGTTATTTGGCATTTGATTTTTTCCCCTGACAAAATTTCTCATTGTCATGCACTTGAGTGGCCGCCCGAATCAGAATTCAATGAATGATTTCGCCAACCCTCGACTACGTTTTGATTAAAATCAATTATTTCGTTGCATATAGTTACATAGTTTCGTGTGATGATTTATTTCCAATTGGCATTCACACTTTGGTGACCTTTGTTGCCAATTTTTATTCTATCAAAGCTGTGACACTTTTTGAGGGCATTTTGTGTTTCTTAATCGACTTTTATTCTCTTAATATGAATCAAATTTTTTTCTTCCCATAAAATTTCCTTTGTATGATGGTGGTCTAACTTCGCAAATATATTCTTTGCAAAAAATGTTGCATTGCTTGACCAATCAATATCATTTGATTTAATTGATATCAATAAAATAATTTTGCAAAGGTTAAACGGTTCATAAATTATATTTAGATTGCGAGAGTGAAAAAAGTGCCCCGGTCTTTGATTGTCGTGTAATGTACAAAAGAAAAACTGCTTCTATGACAATGAAATGAAGAGAGACGTACTTAATCAAATTTTTATTTCAATGTAAAAATCAATGATGTTTTAATAATATTAGGTATTGAATGATGCATTTTTAGTTCGTTTGCTTGAACTAAATAACCCAAATTCGCACACTTCGATCGGCACAACACAACAATCTGTGTTCGTTTCAAATTTTTTATTTTTGAAACTCACTTAAAAGTCATTCATGCCATGTTGCCGTGGTGTGAATGTAAATTTATGCGATCCGTATCTCTTCCTTCTCATGCAACTAACACGCACAAATTTATCTCAATGCATTTTGTAATAGCTAATTATGTAATATGATTGACCGTCTCTCTTTCGCTTGACGAAATCAACAAACCGGCCGACATTTTCTTCGACTAACTCAGTGTTCGAGTGAAGAAACAACATTTTTTTTCTTCAAAGCAGTACATAGAGAAGAGAAAAAAAAGTGTATACGAACTCAGAGTAAAACCCAATCACTGATAATTTAGTTCAATTGTAAAAAAAACAAGTAACCAATATCATTTTAACGCTGAACAGGATTTTTATTCAAATTAACGCATTAATTGGAATGGTATTGTTTTTTCTCAAACGATATATGAATGGTATGTTAATTACGGTGCAATTTTTCTATATTTCATCTTAATAGAATTGAATTAGTCGGTGACCGGGTGGTTAGATGAATTACAAGGTTTTCCATATGGCTTTCTCTCTTCCTTTCTCTATCATTTCATCTTTCTCTGTTCAAAGTATTACATTGTTAAATTCCAATCATATTAAGTGGGTTTCGCCCTGTATTTTAGATTATTTACTTAGCTGTTGCTAACCAGTAAGTATAAAAGAGATAAATAAGGGTCTTTCTCTGTGTAATGAAAACGCTCACTATCATTCAAAACTAAAATGCATATCATTGTTTTGCTGTTAGGCTGTCAATTATAATATGTTTTTTTTTACGTATTTCTATTCACCATTTTGTCTCAATGTTCAAGCATCTCTGTGCTGCGATTATATATTCGTTGCATTCATTTCGACAAAATGGTATGTTATTTATTCAATGAAACAAACCTCTCAATCACATTTTGTTGTGTCGTCTAAAAGGAAAAGGAATGTATAAGTGTGAACCAAATGTGCTCTTATCGAGCGAAAGCGACGACGTGAAGAACGAAGAAAATGAAATAAAATACCGAAGAAGAAAAAAATGTGTGCCGTATACCGGGTTACATTTCGCTATCGTACGATAAGTAGTTATGATTTAATATGTCTATACGTTTGTCGTAATGATGGTGTGTGTTTTTTATGGTGGTCTGCTGTAATATTGATCAATAAAATTGAACGATTGAGCGTCATAAATGTTAACTTACCGGCTATCGTAAATCGATCCATGTAATTTATAAGATTTACAAAACATAATACACCAACTGAGAACCATTCCGAATATGTTACTGATGATATTCCATTGTATTGATGTGAATTTCGTGAATTTGGTCGTTTTGAATTGTCGTTGACATCGTCGCCATCGATTGATGACATTACACTACCCATTGCATTCACCGATTCCGCGTCCGCATTCATCAATTGCTGTGATGAATTTGTTGATGTAAAATTGCCAACAGCCATTTTTATATATTTTTTTTACTACCAGTTAAAGCACTTCTTTTTTTTATATTTGGTATATGCCTAAATTTTCTTCGGCGTAGTTAACTTTTTTTTTGTTTTGAAGACAGATTTTGTTAAAATTTAATGAAATATTATTTCATTCGGTCAAACAACGTTCCGAAATTCTCTATAAATCAGGTGATTGTTTATTCCTTTTAAAATGTTTCTCGTTTTGTTATTGTTTGCGATTAGTCATAAACACATAATATACAAGTCACTGTGTGTTGTGGATCGTACGACAATCGACCGTTTCTATTGCAATCTTGTGCTTGCGTATTTTGAACACATTTACTAACATATAAATACACAATACAATTTGGCCCCGTAATAAACACTTTGATTCTATCGAAATTGAGCAAAAATCGTTTGCTTTCAAATTGATTTCGATGCTTTTATATTGATTTTTAGTTTTAGTTTGTGCAATTTTCTAAACGAATGTGTAAATCGAACAATGACGAAGTCATCAACGTTTTATTTAACATATGATGGGTGTTAGCTTCCCATTTTTTATACACATGTGTGATAATTTATATAAATTTGAAGGTGGCGAGACGTTTTGATTGTTATTTTGTGTCTGTCAATTTCGTTTGATTCCCATTCAGAATTTGTTAATTGGGCCACCGAATAAAATACAAAAAGCCACATACACAGTTTCACGATTTCAATGAATTTTGTTTTGACCACATACGAATTTTGATGAATTTGTGTTTTCTTTTTTTTATTAAAAAGATAAAATTAAACGGATATTGCCCAACAAAAAAAAACCTGAATTGTGTTTTTTTTTGATGACTACATGTCAACACATATTTGCAATAATAATATTTTGATCGATTTGTATGTTGTTCGCTCTGTTACAATTTAAGTACGTGTTTATTTAGCTAGGCTTGATACGTTACTGACATTCAAATGAAAACACATATTGGCTTATGTAGAATATCGTACGATATTCAGGCGACTCCATGATTCATATCAGTTTTATCATTCAATGACACCAGGTGTCGTCGATGTAGCAAACCGGCTTCAAACGAAATGTCAATGCAAACGTTACGAACGTTAAACATTCGCAGACATTTTACCGATTTTTTTTGTTATTTAAAAAAAATATGCAATACATTTTTCAAATAAGATTTTTATTGTGAGTTATTTATTTATTTTTGATTAATTTTATTATTTAAATACAGAAAAATTTCAATTTTTCTATGAAAAACACATAATTCATTAAAGTTTCATGGTGAGTGGAGGCGCCTGGTAAAATAATTTACAATGATTTTTTTTATTTCAAAAATCAAATTCAAATCACAATTGAAGAAAATATTTGAAATATGATGTGATTCAACCAAAATAAAAAAATCGAGTCATTTGTGTGTGCAACATGATGAAAATGAAATTCGTTTTTAATTGTTTTCGATGCGAGATGTGATGCATGGTAAATGAATGAAGCATCCAAGTGTCAAGTATGGCATGCTATGCAGATCCAAATCATATACGATGAAATGATGGTATGTTGTTACATCGGTTGGGAAAGAGTTGGCAGGTTTGTCCTGAATTGTTGTTGTTGTTGCTGCTGCTGCTGTTTTCTTCATCTTCGTTCATTTCTCTTTAATGTGCTTCTCGCGGTGTGTTCCCCCTCTTCTTTCACAGTTGTACCAGTACCATGGATTGCAATAGCTCTCGATCATGCTGGAGCTCTCTATCGCGCGCGCACACACTTCAAACAACACAAGAAAAATGAAAGACGATGAAGAAAGCGACAACGTCACATTCGGTTGAAACGGTTGAGGTAACTCAAGTCACATACGCAACAAAATTTCTTTCTCTCTCTCTTTTCGCTACATATACACACATTACAACCAAGTGTGTATATCAATTGAAAAGTATTTTTCATACGCATCGCGAAGCCAACCGAATAATGTTGAGGTTTTTAACGTAGCACGAACGAACGCGAACGAACGAAGACAAAAAAAAAACTAACTAAACACAAAAATAATTCCCATGAAATTTTTCTATTTATAAGTGACTTTAGATATCAATGACAGTGATTTTGAATTTCATTGCAATTTGCGAGTTCAGCAAAATATCATCATCCATCGTCTTCGCGATCAGGTAAAACAAAAAAGAATAGTTTATTTTTTTTCTTTCGTTGAGATGCATTCTGAACCACAGTGAATGTGTGTACCAGTCAGAGAGTGTGTTGTATATGTGTATGTGTGTGTCTTTTTCTTCTTTCTTGTAAGAAAAATTAGGTTTCGTATTGGCTTTTGAAAGTGCTCTCTCTTGTGAGTGTATAGAAATGAACAAGAATGTTGTTCAAGTTTTGACATAAAATTAAAATAATAATAATACGAACAAATATATAAAAAAAATGTTGCAGTAACAGTTAATTTCTTGTTAGTGAATAGAATTGGTGATTCTTTATATGATATTTTTTGGCCAAATTATATTGGTGAATAAACGAAGTTAAAAAAAAAGAGAATGATCAAGCAGCACCTGGATTGTTTCATTATAAAAAGCTGCGCTGAAAGATCGAATCGATTACGACCTATAATGAAAAATTTCTTCGTATGTCATACATGCCATATATTGGCAAGAGTGTGTGGACAGGATGGCTAAATTGCCATCGCATTTCTTTTTTCATGTGTTTTGCGCTCCATACTTTTATAGAACTTGAAAAATTCCATTTATGCGGGCCTATAACATAGTTTTTTTTTTAACCAAACAACATTGAATTGAAAAGTTTTGTTGCATGCAACGTTTTCATCAGCCAATTGTTGTTGTTGAAGTGAAAATATTGTTAAATTTATTGTGTGATTGATTTAAGTACGTCAAAGAAATTTTTTGTAACGCTGCAACGTGAATTTAAAACCATCAAATGTGAAATTGTAACAATGGATTTTCCTAATTATTAGTCACACATATGAACATTTTAAACTCACGTTATGTAACGTCCCCATTATAATTCATCGCATAGCGAAACCAATTTTTTTTTGTTTACATTGGGTTGACAAACGTTTTGCAAAAAAGTAAAAAACAAAAAAAATATATTTCCTATGGAAAGACCCGCCGTTCGTTGTCTCTACAGTCATTGAATGTTTGTATTGTCTTACGTTGTGTTGAGGAGCGAACCATTTGACGTCACACATTTTTAAAAAAGAGAAGAAATAAAAACCGCTATCCGAAATACCAAGTCAGTGGTTTCTCTCCCTGTCGTTGATTTATCGACTCTGGTGGTTTTTCACATAAAGAAAGTTGAACAAATTTGTCCACCATGTATTATTTACATAATTATATCAAATCAAAACAACTAATTTAGCTAAATTTTACATAATTTTTTTGGTCCAAACGCAAGTTAGTGCACGCAATACCGTAAATTCGAAAAAATATTTTTTATTTTCAGATGTAAAAGAGTTGAAGTGAGCATTTAATTCATTTGATTTTATTCGAGTCCATAAGTTACTCACTCATTTCAAGCCATTCACAAGTCATCGCATTTAATTTACACGCGACAACATTAGTCACCAACGCACATTATATTGCGCAACGCAACAAATGAATTCTTTTATTTCATCATAAGTTTCGTGTTCACATTGAGCCTCGGCCGGTGATGCCCGAATATTTTATGACTAATTTAATTTTTTTGCTCAAGACACAACAAACACTTTTCATTTTTTTTTTTTTTCAATTAATTCATTACGACACAAATCAAATTGCATCCGTCTTGTTGGTTTTTTTGCAGATTTGTCGGGCGAAACGCGCTGTAATCTTTTGATTTTATAACTAAATGTATTTTATTGCAATTGCATTTAACGATCAAATGAAAGATGACGATTTTTAGAAGAAAACCTGTTAGTTTTTGGATTATACTTTCATTTCACCTCATTCTACTCACAATTCACATTGATGGTAAGCATAAAAACAAGTAGATTTCGTAAAAAAGAAAATAATTGTCATCATTGATGTGTCTATATGTAAACGCAATTCTTTTTTCTTCTTCTTTAATACAATGTTTCAGCTGTTAATCGAAAGGTGATATGCAAGAAATCGAACAAAGATCCAAAAATAAATGACATCAATTATGAATTCCATGCGAATTCACCGAATGAAATTTGTGACGAAGATACGATATTTCCGACAACCACATTAAGTACCGAAGCCACTCATGAAATCGGTGCAAATAAATTGAAAGAACTTGATGGTTTGTCAACGCGTAAACCGCGATCAGAGTATACCGATGGAATTGTGCCGACAAAATTGTTGCAATTCGATCCACAACATCCGCCAGCAAGTGCGTCAGCCGTAGCCGAAGAACGTCAGAATAATCCAAATGCTGATATTCAAGACATCATAACCGGAATTGTTAAATTACTAAATGGAAACGTAAATGTTCACGCAAATACACAATACTCACCGCCACCAACTCGACGATATGCTACGCGTATAAATAATCGTGGTCCGCCTCGAATATCGGAAATGCCACTTATACTACCTGTCATTGATGATAAATTTAGTAATATTCCGCCACAAAAAACAACACCATTTCCAAATGGAATGCGAAAACCACCAACTGTACCGTATCCATTTGATATGCCACCGCCGCCGCCGCCGCTGACATCATCACCGGAAAAACCACTTCGAAATGAGCATCCATTGATGGTGCACAATAAACCAGTGCCAACAAATCGACCACCATGGCATGGTTCACGAACACGACCACCGATTCAAATAACAAATACAAATCGTTTGCAAATGCCCAGCCGAGTATCACATTTGCCACCGCAACCATCACAAGATCTTCGTCCGCCCAGCAAAACAATTGTTAATCCACCAGCATACAGTACACGAATTCCTGACGTAAATATTAAAATGCCCGATGTGTATTCAAGTGAAAAACCAGCACCAAATCCAATGGAACAAATGGTGACAAAACCAAATGTTCAAACCGAACTACCTCCAAAAGAAATAACTCGAAAACCAGATCATCCGAAGAAAACAACACGCATTCCATCGACCACATCGATTCCAATTATTGAAAGTAGCAAAGAAATGGTCGAACTACCCGTTAGCATACAAACACCTACCTCACCATCGTTATTCATTCCGGAACGATCGACAGATGCATCAGCTCCACCAGCAGCGGCTCCATTTTCACATGTACCACATCCGTCGACTGATTCAAAAGAACATTTAAACACACCTGAGTTATCGGTATCGTCAATTCGTACCACACAAGAAACATCATTAACAATTAAATCCACCACGGAACCAGTTGAAACGACGGCAAAGAACACAATCTCACCATCAAGAGTACAACAACCGACCGAAACCATTGATGCAACCGATTTTAAATCATTTTATGCACGTCCTGGCATCGTTCTTGACGATACAGATTATACACCCGGTACACCGGGTGCTTTGGAACCATCAACTCAACCCGTTTTTCATCATGTTCATCGTAATACAGGCGTGCCATCATCGGCAACACTTTCAAACATTTATGCAGAAGTATTTGATGTCACATTGTCAGCGATTCAGGGCCAACCACATCACAATAAAGTGGTCGATTTGATTGAAATCGGTAATACCGAAGCGGGTGCAACTGATGTGATTGCAACGAAACTTTATGGGACCGATGGAAATGATATCATTGTTTCAGCATCGGATGATAACAGTTTTGTATCGATCGATGGTAAACGAACGTACATCAATCTATTTGGGGAAACAGCCGAAACTGAACACCTGAAAAAACCATTAAAAACCCATGACGACAACCGAGTTTATTCATCGAAAACAGTAAGTTAACCCGTTGATTTATTCAGATTTTTTTTTGCTCTCTTTTGATGTGCATTTCTTGTAATTGCGAAGCGAAAATGATACAATTTACATGCCATATAATTTTTTGGTGTTTTAAAATAAATAGGTCACACCATATGGTGAAAAAACGAATTCAATTCCGACGAATCGAGGAAAACCAGTTCAAGTTCATAAACCATTTGCAAATCATACAACAAGTTCGCAGACACCATTTACAATGAGATATAATTACCGAACAAAACCACAACAAAATGCTGTTCGAATCGATACATGTATTGTTGGCGATGATTCTACTTGCGACATTGCACAAAATGAAGTATGCAAAACGGATTCGGGTGTGTCAAGTTGCCACTGTAGACCAGGTACGTTTTTTTTTCAGATTCTATACTTTTTTTGATAACATCTCCTTGAAAAGTAAGTAATGGACCGTATTGAAATGTGTATTTTCTTCCAAAAGGTTATTCTCGTCGCAAGTATCGTGATCCATGCAGACGTGTTGTATCGTTGATTATGTCAATGCGAATTGACAAATATTACGATAAACCAATCGTTTGGGATAAAGTATTTGCCGATTCAAATAGTGAACAATTTGAACACATTAATTTCGAATCACTACGAGCAGTAAGTCTGTTTATCTGTATTTGCTTAACACATTTTCGTTCGCTGGCATGATGAAATTTCATTTTTGCAAAACACACAAAACTCAACACTTTCTAATGTTTGCATGAACAGGTTGATTCGGTGATGTCAATGACGCCATTTTCGGACGATTTCATTAGCGCTCGAGTGCATAATATTTATGCGGGCAACGCAAGTCAAGGTTCACCGGGTGTATATGTCAACATGACCATTCAACTTGATGGCAATACGGAAAGTGCCCGAAACTATATACAATCTGATTTACAAAAGCAATTGATTGCGGTCATTCATCGTCGAAATAATAACATTGGCAATTCAGCATTGTATGTCGATCAACCGGCCGGTTCGATATCAAGTCTTTATGGTAATTGAAAATTGAAATTCATTTTTTCGTAAGTACGATCATTTAATTGTAAATCATTTTAAGATTTGGACGAATGTTCATCGCGTGAGTTAAACGATTGTCATCCAAATGCAAATTGTACAAATTCATGGGGAACATTTCAATGCAAATGCGCGGCGGGATTGAGAGATCCATGGTCGGATCAAATTCAAAGGGCCGGCCGTGAATGTATTTCATGTTCGAATACGTATTGTAATAATCGTGGAAGTTGTCAATACGATGAGAGTGGCACACAATTGGTGTGTATTTGTGCAAACAGCTATTATGGCAGCCAATGTGAAATTGACGGTGACATTTTGGCTGTATCGGTTGGCGCATCAATTATAGCCGTGTTGATTATAACATTGACATTAGTTTGCTTGGTTATGTGGGGTCGCCGATGGAATCAAGAACAAAAAGAAATGGTTGGCAGTCCAGTATTTAATTATATAACACGCGCCAATTTGGACACACACATGAAAACGATGCAATCGAAAACATACCAGGCCGCACTGGAAGATCGAATGCGATGGGCTCAAATTGCAGATGTTATGGCACAATCCAATCATTATGCGGTAAGATATTTAACATTTACTAGAATCCGGCCATTTTATTTACACAGAGCTGTTTTGGGTACCGAAAAAGTACGGGTAGTCATTTCATCTCATTTCTCAAGTGCCTGAATATAAGAAAAAGTAGCACCTACAAAAAGAGCACCTACGGTGCCTTTACCAGCTCTGTATTGAATGAATTTTTTTAACATGCCTGAATCAATCAGATTCTTCTTTCTAATGGACAAAGTTTTATGTCATTCATGAAAAATGTTCTGTCTTAAAATCAATTTTCTATTTAAAAATGTCAGGTTGAACCAGTTGCACCGCAAAGAGTGCAACCAGCACCATTGTATGTATATCAAAATATGCATCATCCAAATGGTACTGCCAGTCTCTCAATGGCTGGAACATTGCCCGTGGGACGTAATCGTGAGCTATCAATTCCTATTTCGAGGTTAGTAAAGAAGTGTTGATTTTGTATTCTGAAATCAATTTACTTGTCAATCATATTCGACAATTAAAATATTCTCAGTACACATTTGTATTTCATTCATCGGCCAACACAACAAGTTGGTTACAGCAGAAAAATGTATATAAATATTCATGTGTGCTCAATTTCAGAATGGATATGGAATCAGTGTCAAAGATGCGAAGACATGAGACTACAAGTTCAAGTGAGGAAGATGATTTAGTGGACTTACTTGGCAGTAACACATATCAGGTAGGTAGAATAAATGGCAATGATTTTAAAGGTCAAACAATTTATGCCATTTTTGATTTTGTTCAAAATTAAGTTTTGCCATTTGTTTCGTTTGATGATTGTTGTTAATTTAATATTTAATGTTGATTCATCAATTTCAATCAGAGTCCAACCGGTATCTATTATGATGTGGATTGTGAATCATCCGATCAGCAACATGGCACATCAACATTACAATCAACGCTGGAAAGTGGTGGTCCATTGTTCAGTCTATCGAATGCGCCAAGAGTTCCAATGTCAACTTATACACCCAATCCACATCCTCGCATGTACCCGAGAAACTAATGCCTCTAAAAGAAATGATTTTTTCCTATATAATTACTATTTATCTTATATTACTATAAAAGAAATGAAAAGTGTTCGCGATATAATTTTAGTCTGTCCAAAATAGTTTCTCAAGTTAAACAGCATTTTTTTGGTGTTCAAAACTTTACCTTTAAAAATGCCGTTTAAGTTCAGAAACGCATGCAAACAGTTCCACGGAATCAAATGAGCTTATTTATTTATTTATTAATTGATTTTTTCTATGTGTAAATAAAAAAAAATGCGAATCGCACAATTATCGTAAATTAAGTTCTTTCCCCATTTCGACAAATTGGTCGATCAATCAAAACTGCACTGATCTAGCATCTATTTATTATTCGCATCCCATTCTATTCAGAGACTGTTTTTTAGAGCAATATATGTGAAAAGAAGCGCTCTGAAGAGTCGGAGAAGCGCCTAACTTTTAAGACTTTGCTCAGTGCTTCTCCGGCACCTCTTCACATACATTGCCCTAAAAACAGTCCCTGATTCTATTATATATATATTTTTTCTTTTTTTTATAAAATAAAATTTATTTGTTATATTCAGACAATATATTTAGCTGTCGTCATCTGGATATTACAGCTCATCTGGATATCGTCAGCAGATGATACGAAGTGAAAACAATAGAAGTGATTGTTATAGGTATATACTGGTATTACTATAACAATCACTCCTATTGTTTTCACTTCGCATCATCTGCTGACGGCATCCAGATGAGCTGAAATATCCAGATGACGGCAGCTAAATATATTGTCTGGTTATATTTTGTTGCAAAATAAGCTGCTGTAAAAGAGCGCCATAATATTTGTCTCCCCTTCAACGAACGAAATTTCAACGAATATATACTATTTTTCGGTTACAAAGCAGATAAAAAAGACACAAAAAGATTCTTCATTGGATTTAGTTTAACCTTAGAAATGTACTTAAAAAAAAACGAATTAAATATAGATAAACGAAGGTCATAAACCAAGATTAACAGTTTGTTTTAATTTCTATTTTCAATTTTACACATTTTTTACATTCCACTATAGCAGCCGAACAAAAAGCGTCATTGTTTTATTTTTCGAATTTTTCTTGGCTTTGCAACTTGAATGAACATGAAATTTAATTGCTAAAAACATAAGATATTGACATCAATTTAACAACAACAACCAAAAAACGCTTTCTACTTCAGTGTTGTGCTTTGAACCACAAAATCTGTTGATTGTATTCATTTCATATAGCATTTCATGGACCTTTTAATCGCCGATCTGAACTCATCGAGCAAAAACAAAACGGCTGCTGCTCTTTTACATTGTTGCTGTTTCTTCTTCTTATTTCAACTAATTTGAACGCTTGATTGAACGGCAACATTTGCGGTTTAGTTAATTCGATTTAATCAAACGAAGCGAGAAAAAATGTGTCGTATTTGAAAAATTGAAGCCGTTATTAGAATCATTCTGACGTGGTTTCTAATTTTCTTCTTTTTTTGTAAATTAAAAAAAAAACAACATTGTTAGAATACAATGGTGTATTTCATCAGATAACGAGAAAACGATTTAATGTGCAAAGGTAATGGCAATACAAATGAGAGGGAACCATAATAATAATCAAAACCCCATAATCTAGTCCCCATTTCGAAAAGTGCATAGAACAAAAGCTATTTAACATATTATGAAGGAGACAGAGAAAAAAATAAGCACACAAAGAAAATGTGTTGTGTGAACAAACGCTTCTGGTGTGATAAGCAAGTGCCATTTATGATCACGACTTAGATATGCACCTTGGTATGTGGGTTTTCACTTTCACCAGTAAGTTGCATTTCTTTTCGCTGCTGTAAATTTAATTGGCAATGATATGACACATTAATGTGAAGTCTGTGACAACATCTCAACAACAATGTTGGTCTCTCGCCCCTAAATGCACACTCATTTCGCATATACAGTGTTCACGAACGAACGATTGAACGAAGACGAAAAATAAACAAACACCACACAATTGGTGGCTATCAATGCGAATCGAAGTATCATGCAAAAGCTTGACTCACTCATAAAAAGCGATCATTAGATTCGCCTTGTGATATTTTGCATTCAATGGCATTGGAACTATTATTCATTTATACTTTGTATGTCGATCGTACACAAATCCAGTAACGCCGACATCCGCCGACGCAATATTACTCACGGCATATTATAATCAAAATGGGTGAGAAACTGACGACTATTGGATTTTTTTTTGCTTTTCGCTCTCTCTCTCTCTGTGTGTCTCTTTCCCTCTCTCTCTCTCTCGTCACATTATGTTTTCTTTGCATTATGAGTATCGAATTCGATCGCATAATAGCAAAAGAAAGAAAAAAGAAGAAAAAAAACGTGCCGAATGTGCATCGATGCCCATGACGACGACTACATACGACGTTCGCTCAAAGAATTATAAAATATTGCACGAAAACTATATCGCCATTAATACCAGAGACGAGGAAAAAAAAAGTAAGTGTATTTGCACAAGATTTGCAGACACCTTTACAATGGAGCTCACATATCATGCACATTGTATCGCGTATCAACAAAATGAGCACATGTGTGTATCAATAACCATACACACTCGCAAAAAACACACGGTTGCCACCGAACGCACCAAAATGAAACGAAAGCAAACTATGAAATAAAATTGTATGCCAATCACAATACCCACTTTTCTGAATTAATCAATGATGCCAAGATGTTTAAAGATCTTAAAGATTATGGCATATTTCACCGAAGAAATTCATTTGAAGTCAACAAAGAAACAAAATTGTGGATTTGTTTATTTGTTATCGAGATAAAGAAGCGCTTCACACCAAATCTCTTTCTAACCTGATATACCTGAGAATTTCCGGTCGTCCAGAGATTCTCTTTCAAATCTTGCGAATTCGAGTCGACGGTTTGATTAGAATCTGACTGAAACGTGTGCTATTGTTTATATATATACGTATTTTCGTTTCCGATACTGATACGGTGCCGTGCCGATCGGAAACAGTTGAACAAATGAGAAAGATAGACAGAGTGCCAAGAAGATGATGAGAGAAACGAAGAGAAGAAGAAAACGACGACGAAAAGAAAAAAACACACACGTCCAGCACACAACTGTGCATGTTAAATAAACCGAGTCAAGTAAACGATTGCCTGTGTGTGTGAGTGTTTTTCGTGTCGATGTTGCTGTTTTACAATATTGTGTGTCTTATAGTGTTGTTGTATTATTTATATTCATCATCTCCCGTAGTCATGGATCAGATCGCAGTGTACACCTTTTTGAGACTGAGTCGAGACGTATAGCGTCAGATGGAAATCAGTTATAAGTGAATTGCCGTGATGAGTGCTTAGAAACCTGTCTTTCGTATTAGTTGTGTGAGCGATTTTTCTTCATTCTCCACCAAATCGCATGCAAGAATATTGATTCCATAATAAACTGTTGTTGTTATTTTTTTTTTATTTAGTTTTTTTATTCTCTCTGGATTTGGTTATTTCTATATATACGATCAATTGCGAACGTGCAGTGCTGTCGTTCGCCTGTATGGTGTGTGCCGTGTGTGTTTTGATCATTTTCGAACTAACTTTTGCTTCGCGCGAACCGATCAATTTTCAACCACTATGAAGCAATGTAGTTGACCAGTTCTCAATAAAAAAAAAATTCGTTCGAGTTTATTTTATTTTCCATTAATACGAAAATCAAACAGAATAAAGTTAAATAAAGAAATAAAAAACACAAAAAAAAATTACAAGGGAAAAAAGACGACAGCAGCCGAACAACACACATTGCAGGAATTTCCATTGAAAAATAATAATAATAACGAGAGGGAGAGAGAGAGAGAGAAGAGAGAAAAAAACAACACACAAAATAGAAGAGTTATAATATAAACGAGTTCAGTTTATATCATCTCGCATATAGCTACGATTATATCGTTCATCCTCACACATCAAATGTGTATGCATGGTGTTCTGTCGAAAAGCGACTTCAATATAGACAACATAGTAAACAATTTTTATGATCGAATATTTAGAGCGGAGGTGAGTGCGAGAGAGCAACAGAAGCAGAAGCAAAACAGCAATAAAACAACACAGCAATACAACACCAACCAAGTTAAAATTTAGGGCAGAAAGCTGTAGTCATCATGAGTGCAATTTATGAATTAGTTATTTTGTTGGCAATTTTAGCGACGATCGTTGAATCAAAAGGTGAACATTTCAATTTATTCACTTTTTTACTACAAAAAATTTTTGTTACAGTTTTTGTTTGAAAAAAAAAAAAAAATATGTTTTTCATTCTCTCATCGTTACATTGTTTTTAGTTCGTTGAATGTTGCATTTGGTTTTGATTGTTGAGTTTGGTATGTGCGCGCGCGCGTTTTTGTGTGTGTGTGTTTTATGTGTGCGAGTGTGCAGTATGCGTAATGTAAATGAGAGTAATAAAGCGCATATTTAAATATAAGGTATAATGTCTGCAGTTTCCAATCGATCGGTGCAATACAGTTCAGTACGAATTGGATCAAGATACGGTGTATGGAATTCTTCTTTTATTCTCTGATGTTTCTCGTACGATAGCCCATAATAATATTTATTGTGATGGTGCTGTTAAAAATCGATCGACACGAGACGTTCGCTCCATTCACGTCTCAGGGAGAGAGAGAGAGAGAGAGAAATGTTATGATACATTAAAAATAGTAATAGAGATGCTGTTGTTTATGGATGCCGAAAGGTGAACACTTTCTAACCGATTAGCGGCACAATAGGAGATAATTGTCTAAATTTGAAAATAATGAGCGGCGCTGAGAGTCGCAACGGAAATGTCTCTCTATCTCTCTCACCTTGTGTTTGTTGTATGGGACAAAGATAATCAATTCGATTCAATCTAACAGTGAAAATGTACCACAGATTGTCATTTTGCATGCCAAGGAAGCAATTTTAATCTCGTTTCTTTCCGACATCGTTGTCGTCGATGGCAACGGTGTAATATTTGCCTTTGCAAGTGCGTGTGAATGTGTGCGTGCGACAAACGAGAAAAAACTAACAACAACAACAACCACGAATTGGTGCTGAGAGCAGATCCAGTGTGTTGATATAACTAACTGCTTCCATCGACATTAACAATGATCGCAAAAAAGGCACTGCAATTCAGGCGATTTAATGTAGCCGCATGGTTTGTTTGTCTGTTTTTATTTTTCGGTTTACAATTGCACGTAATATCAAGATAGCAATTAAAGATTTCACAACCATTTGACAAATTGGAATTCTTTTGAATCCCAGTGAAAGTTTAAAATCGAAACATGAGACGACAAGAGAAATTTCGTTTAAAAAAAAAAGAAAAGAAAGCACAAGCATCATTTTCTTGGGATATGAATGGGAAATGAAGCAAAAGTAAACAATATTAAATAAATAGAGCGCTCCGGCGCATTCAATGCTCTTGTTATGTTGATTTTGTGTGTGTTTTATTCGAAAACTTCATTTGACATTCTGCCATTATTTGAACAGTCTTACCTTGTTATTCACGAAATTGAAATGAGAAAAAAAACACCACTACGAAACCCACACACAAAAGCCAAATTTAAATGTGAAAGCCCAAAAGGTGTGGGATCCGTTGTTCGCCCAATCGCTGATGACTCGATACATTTTGTCATTTATTCGCGGCCGTTTGTGCTGGCTCGTTACCAAGTATGGACAAACAAAAACACGATCAACAAAAAAAAAACGTACACAGCCACGAAGAGACGAGAGGAGCACGGTGAATAAAGAAGTAAAAACGAATCAAAAAAAAAAAGAGAAGAGAGCGAATAAACTGTGCACATTGAATCACAGTTCAGTTTCACATTATGAATATAAGTTCGTAAACAGTTTAATCGGATGGAGCGTAGCCAATGAAACAAAATGTGTGTTCATATCTATATACTCCAATGAGTATTTCTTTAAAAAAAAAAGCACACAGAATAATAAGTGTATACACGCGCGGCGCATACGACCGAACCAACTCAATTGTCGTGTGTGCATGCATGAACATCAAACGTACACACGAACTAACACACACACGCACATGATCAGAAGTATCAATAGACTTGAAGAGAAGAGGAACCGTTGATTATCTAACGTGATTTACAGGTTTTTTTTCTTCTTCTGCACTTTATTTGGTTCTATGGTCGATCGGAGCAGCAAAAAGTGAAAAAATTGCTGCAACTTGCAAACAAAACGGTGGTTGACAATATCATCTCTTACATATCCAATTGTAATCGTTGTTTCTCTTAACAACACACCGACCGACCGACCGACGACAACCGACCCATGTTCACTACGAATTACAATCGCACACCAACAACGGCAAACAACCGATGCCAACGGAATATCGAATATTGAAATTTAATATGCACGCATAATTTATGGCATTCAATATATCGAATATCAGCGGGCGCTATTCAACTTATATATATACGTACCTAATGCCCATATCAAATGATCGTTGAGACCATAAATCATTTGTTTTATAATATATTTTCAATCAAAAAATGATTTGTTGTGTAACAGACAATTATCATTTTTCATATATACTATATATATATATATATATTTTCAATTTCATATTCATATCAGCCGAACATAAACCGATTGTGACACACACACACACTGCGGTTACGATGGTGAATCGCACTATTGTTATATGTTGAATATAAAAGCCAGTTGTGTTGTTTTTTTTCTCGTGCATTTGGTTTATTGTTGTTGTGTAAATGAAGTCATTGTCACTGACATTGTCATACAGCATAGGCATTAATGTCTATTGTTAACGTCAATGTCGTTATTTCCACGAAAGATGAATTCCCTGGCAAACGAAAACCGGATAATTGTGCTTGGAAAATACTCACTCCGCATCTTCTTAATCTCTTCTCTCTTCTAATAGGTTTTTTTTTCTTATTTCTGTTTGTCGCGCGAGCACATATACACAACTTTTTTTCCTCTCTTGTTGATATTTTTTTTATTTGTTCCATCGCTAAAACAATTAAAGCATTTTCGATCATACGGGAAACGTTCTTTGGGGTTAACTTGATGTCATCTTCTGTTAAAAACAAACACATTCGTCCCAAGGTATTTCAGAAATCGTGATGTACTTCTCTCTCTCTCTCTCTCTTCATTTTCGTCGTTGTCATCCGTTGATGATTTCGAAAATAAATCACGTAATCGTCGCATTTCGTGTTAGTAGTGTGGCAATAGTTATGAAGAAAGATTCCTTCTGTGTTGTGTTAATTAAAGTAATTTGATACATTAGCAATTAACCTCTTGGACGGGATCGACTTGATTGTTTTTTTTTCTTCGGATCACTGTTTTTTTTGTTCCTGGCACATATTAGAACCTTGAAAAATGGTCTGGTATTACAGCGAAAAACCACACCATAAATTATATCTGCCAAAATGCAGATCATCTCGAGTTACTTTTGTTATAAGCACTCTTTCTTCTAATTTTCATCGGTATTTTTTTGTTGTTGTTCTATCGAGCAACATTTTACGGATGATGGTCATGCAAAATTGTACATGCAAGCAAGCATATTCATATATGCGTGAACCATGCAAAACGTAATGGAAACGAAGAAAAAAAATGTTTGTGACTGGGCAAAGAGCACGCAAGACTACTCGGCATTTGTCCAAAATATAAAATAATCTGCATGTAGAATATGTATTTAACAACAACCACAACAACGAAAAAAAAGAGACTTTATTTGGTGTGTTCATTGAGATTTGAGCGCATGGTGTGTGTTAGTTAGCGAACCATAGGACCGTGTTATTTGAGTTACCGTTATTCATGGTTGCTGGTAATGCTGAAAATACGCGAAGATTTTTCATTCATTTGCTTTTACAATATACCTTCTACTTACGAATCTACTTAGTTCTGTTTTTGAGAATCACGTAATTATGAACTCTCCGCCGTGTAACAAAGCAACAATTATTTCGCGTATTTCTCTCACTCTGCAGCAGCTGTGCGCTTTTTTTTTTCAAAAATTTGTGTTTTTTTTATATTGCTCCTATTTTGGAATCGCATACTTAACTCCAATCAGACAAACAGACCTGAGTGAGCAGCAGCAGCAGCAACAACATCAACGACGCAAGAAATAGCAAAATTGAATAATTTTTTGGAAACAATCGTCTTAAATTCAGTCGATCAATCATTTTGCAGTTTGCTTTTGAATGAGTTCGCCTACGCTTTCGCTTAAATGGGCTATGAAATGAGTACAGTGCTGATTTTTTTTTGTTATTTGCTCGCCTCAATTTTTTTTTCACTTCTGTTTCTTGCTCGACACATCGACAAAAAAAACAATACAAAAAAAAACTATTGCCGCTAGTGGAAAAATTGAAAACAAAGTAAGAAAATGAAAAAACTTATCTAATTTGAAATTTTAACAATATAATTACGTAATGCGTTGTGAGCAATTAATTTGTGAGGCAGCAAAAAAGTGCAAAACGAATTCAGAATCGGGCGCAATTCGCATTCATTTGTGAGATGAAGATTTGTTATTGTTGTTTTTTTATTTCGTTGTTATTGATGTTGCTGCCGTTGCCGTTTTGTCAGTGAATGAGGCTTTTATGTGTGCGATTGCTTAAAAAAAACTAACAGATACATATTTAGGTATATTATATTCTACGTTTAAACCTTATCAATTATGCTGATTGAATCTGTGTGGTTTTTCGTATATATTTTCAACATAGACACAAACAAATAATATGCACTTTGCTGCGATGCGCGAAACAGGAGAATGCTACAAAAACGAATATATATGATTTATGTTCTCAGCGAAAACTCTTCGCTGGTGTTGTTGTTATTTTTTTTACATAATGCAATCGTGACGAAAGTAATTTGTATTGTATTTTAATTTACAAACCGAGTGAAAAAGAGAAAAAAAGAAAAAAAATAGAGAAGACGATAGCGCAAAAGTTCTTGGCACACATTTTTATTTTTCCGACAGTTTAAATTGAAGCAGGCGTGTTACGATCGCTTCTTGGAAATTGTAGTATCTCTTAACATCGACGAAAAAAACAAAAAGAAGAATCTCATCGTGACTGTGTGTCGAAAACACACAGCCACATTGCTGTGTCATTGAAGAGACGACTATGACGACGACGACGATGTTCAAGTCATTTTGCAAAGTGATCGGCGATTTGTGTGTGTTGATGTAATTGATTTAAATGCATCCTGTCTATTTTTGTGTCTGATGTGCAATCCAAGTATATATCCCATGTCAAACGAAATGACTTGTCGAGATGCAATCCTTTTATGTCTTGTCACATCTCAACGTTTGTTATGCTTCATTTTCACAATTCCAATGGTGGTGTTCCGTGTTTGATTTGATGATTTTGTTTCTATGAAGTTGGATTGCCATAATAATTCCAGGTGGCTGCTGCCTTCTTCGTTTCTTTTTTTTGCTCTTTCTCTTCCTCTCTCTCCAACATTTTTTTTCTGTTGCAAAAATCCGATGAGCAAGCAATTAAAATGCGTTCCATAGCCCAACCATTTTACCATGAAGAAATGGTATATCTTGGATACCGTTTTTGGTCATCGGTTTAATCTTTGGTGCCATTTTTGGTTTCGCCAGTGCTCACCCAATCGATCGAAGGTTTGCGATTGCATGCGACTCAATGTTGTTGCTTTTTTTGTTTTTTTATTCTTTCTTTGTATCTCTTGTCCGTGCCATATATACAAGTATGCTTGCGTCAAAGCTAATCGTCGTGATTTTGATTGAGCCAATCGTTTATATATATTTATAAAGTGAATGCGAACGAATACGAGCATATAAACGTGCGCACCAGGTTCTTTTTTTCTCTCTCTCTCTCTCTCTCTCTCTCTCTCTCTCTCTCGTTGTGTATGAATGGCCAATTCACTACAGAGAAGTGAAAAGTAATATAACCCCGATTTTGTGACGATCGTCACCTTTGATATTTCGAATTTTCATTGTTTTCATTTCGAATGCCCATGATCCGTAGTATTGTTTCCGTTCAGAAGACACAATCTATAAATTCACACATTTATAAAAGAGCTATGGGTATGGTCATGAAAGAATAAATCTCGGCTATTTCATTACTGCTATGCAACGTAACCATCACACGTACGTATCAAAGAAATTGATGAGGTCACAAAATAAACTTTATTGTATGACTAATAAATCCATCGGCAAATACACAAAAAGGCCGCCGATTTTGCTTTGAAAATCAACACTCATTTGGTATTGATGGTTAAGCTTCTTGTTTCTATTCACCACTTCGTGTTGTATTATTTTGTTTCGTATTGTCAAATTAAGTGTGTTTTTGAACTTTCTCAATAGATTTTCGACATTTTTGCTGGCCAGAATTAACCATATATCTCGCAATATAAATTTCCCATAAATAAGCATATAGGATGTGTTTAACACATTTACCGTTAATTTTCTTTTGATTCGATAATTTCGTAGATAGTCATTTTGGTTGGGCGATCTATGTTGATGATAATCTGATTTATTCCAAATAAAAATTCGTTCTTTTGTGTGTTTCTTTTATTCAAAATCACATCAAAATTGAAAAATAGATCAAATTTGTGTAACACTTGTTTCTTTTCTTTAATTGGTTCTCCCGTCATAGATGAAGGTGCTCACAAAGTATACTGTTCGGAAGATTTGATGAAAGTCGACATTGAATTGTTGACCGATAATATCAATCCATCAGATGTATATTTAGAAGGTTTAAAAGGATATCCAAATCCAAGATGTCAACCAACAATCAAAGATCGTGTAGCCCAATTTCAATTGCCGCTGCGTGATTTTTATGAATGTGGTGTTACGCGAGTTTTTAACAAAAACAACGTAAGTTCATTTCACAACAAATTTTCTAATTAGCTGCATTTTGCTTTTTCTCGCAAATTCTCTGTGCATTCATTTAAATACAGATTAGTATTGTTGAACAAAAGAGCTTTAAATCGTTTTTTTTGTTTGCATTTTGACGCATCATTTTTTGTTCTTTGGATTTTATGCAACTTCCCACACTTTGACTAATGTGCATTTGGGATTTTTTCAGGGAAAGAAAGTGTTCTATCACAAAGTGATAATTGAAACACTGCGAAGAAAAGACTTCGTTAGCTTTAAATGCATTATATCAGTGCCGTACAATTTGACAAATACACCGCACAACATAACGAGACGTGATGTGTTGCCGGTCGGTTTCGAAGAGCCAATGTATGTTATAGAAAATGATTAATTTACCTATTGTCTGCAAAAAATAATTACCGTTCAGTTTTTTTTTCTTCTTTCTCAAATGAATTTCTCACTTTTTCCATCGCTTCTGCCTCTCTTTGGATGGATTGATTTTCTTGGAACTTGTTTTTCATTTGGTTAGATAATTTTTTAATGATAAGAAACTGCTGTTTTTTTTATCGCTAAATAAATTCTAACGAAAGGGAAAATAGTTTTAAAAGAAAAAAATCTTTAAAGACTCAAATGGAAGCCGCATACAAATGATGAGAAAAAAAAAAGAAACTGAATTAATAATCGAAAAGAAAAAAATAAAATGTTTGTTTGTTTGTCAAATTAGTGAATTGGATATTACGGAAAAGCATGATTTCTATGCACCGGAACCAGTATTGGGTGTTGGTGTGCGACAAGGTGATGAACTGGTTGATGGTGAATTAAATGTAAGTCCGGGCACACCGCTCTCCATGGAAATCTATTTGGATAAAAAATCGGCGCCAGTCTATGGTCTTGGCGTAACATACATGCAAGTGACTGACACTAAAACGCAAGAGGAAACCATCATTTTTAATGGGTAACATATGCATATAAAAATTTCAGTCAGTCAGTCAGTCATTTATTCAATCACAAACGAAACATTAAATCAGCTTATATCTCTTACATAATATGCGCTATTTATTTTCATATATTTCGTTTTCGTAGTTGTTCTGTGGATCCATTCTTGTTTGAAAATTTTAATACAGTCGATGGTGATTTTCTGACAGCCAAATTCCGTGCATTCAAATTTCCCGATTCGACATATGTACAATTTCGTGCATCGGTTAATGCGTGCATTGATAAATGTAAAGGTATTCAATGCAGCAACGGACAAATTGGATACGGACGACGAAAGCGAGAAATTGCACAATCGGCCGAGCTTGAATATTCAATTCCATTTATTATACGAGTTGTTGGCGAACCAGTGAGCAAAGGTATGTCTTTTTTCGTCCACACTTTTTTCTTATCTATGATGTCAAATTAACCAATTTTTTGTTTGTTTCGTTTACAGATATTGGTAAAGAGTTGGATTATAAGTTGGAACAATTGAAAGTGATAAATCAAAAATTACTTCGTAATAGTCGCGGAAGTCTATTACATAGTGGTGTGCCTAGTGATGGATCAACGCTGATACGTCGATCGAGCTCTGATGACATGCCAATGGAAATATCGGCTCGTGTCACAAATTCAGCATCTAAATCAATTACATTCCATACGGTGGTGGCGATTGTGTGCACCCTTGTTTTTACCTTCGCCCAACAACGATATTGAAATGTCTTTGCTAATACGAAAAACAAAAAGAAGAACGAATTCCCTCCCCCTAGTAACCAATTAAATTGCAGCCCATGATACATATTTTTTTTGTTTTATAATTGACATTTATAATCTAGTATATCTTTTTAAAAGTCATAGATTTTAAGTATAGATGTTGAAAACGAAACTAATTGAATAAATTGTCCTAACCGTAAAATAGTAACAAATAAGTAAACGTTGTTTTTTTTGTTATAATAAGATCTTTTCATCTTTTGTTTTTGAAGAAAATAGAAATTCCGACCGTTTTCTTCAATATTGTTGGAAAACAAACTGGAATCTATAATGATTGAATCCATTGTCTTTTCCCCCAATTGAAATCGCTTCAGCGTAATATTTTAGTGAATGTCATCGTTGCGACATTAATATGGGATTTGTACAAGTCATTTTCACATTTTAAACAGGTTATTTCCATAATATCAACAACTTTTTAAAAAAGTACGTGATTACATGTGAGTAGTCGGTACCGTTTTTCCTATTGTTTCCATTTTCTATTCATGTTTACTTGAAAATCGAAAATAAATAGAATACCTTAGATTTTTATTCACAATTCAAAACGCAAAAATACATTTCCATTCTAAAGTATTTCCAGATTGAGTACGCAAACAAAAACAAAACGATATTTAAATATTGAAATCGTTGTCACATATATTAAAGACGCATTAGCGATTGTAAGAGGTGCTGTCGTGTAAAAAACCATATGAATAAATTAGTTTCATGTTTACAATCAAAAGGTAAAGTTGTACATTTTTTGTTGTTACACAAGTCCGAAACGTTTTGAACGATTTTCAGTGAATTTATTTCATTTTTAAGTGTAAATACTTGATTCTTTATTTGTTTACATTCTTAAGTAAGTATTAACACAAAAAAATATGTCAACACTGTTCACCAAACCACAAAAAAAATTGTATATGTCAACAGTTTCAAAATGGATAGTACAAAAACCGATGACGATCATCACATAAAAATAACGGATATTAATCAATTTTGTCTGGAGCATATTTGCATGTATTTGGATTTAAAAGATCTTCTCAATTTGGCCGATGCAAATAAACATCTTAAACTGGTTACGGGTGCCCATTTTGGTCGAAAGTGTGCTGGAAAATCTATTATTATTGATCAACGTTTTTCGAATGCATTTCCAAACTTTAAAAGCGATCAAACATACATTATGGAATGTGATAAAATAAGAATTTATAATTTAAAAATGAGTTTTCAAATTTTACGCTGTTTTTGCCCATCGATTGTCGATCTAGAGTTGGACTATCGTTATCGAGAAATTGACAAACTACCAACAAGTTATCGCTGTATTATTGACTATATGCATAAGTTTTGTGTTGAGTCTGTGAATCGACTGGTACTTCATCCCGCATCGTCGCTTAAATACTTTACGAAATGCTTTGAAAATGTTGAAAAACTTGAAATCGGTTCATTGCTCGAGAATCGATTGAGTAGTGTATTTCCGAATTTGAAATCATTGGAATTTGAAGATTATAGCTATGTTCGTGCGGAATTGGATCATTTTCCGCATTTATATCATTTAAAAATTCCTCTATTTAATAGTAAACATAACCAAAAAATTGCTGCAGCTTCGATTTTACGCGTAAATCCACAGCTTAAAAGTTTGCAAATTAAAACCGCCAATTTTGACTTCTTTCAAGAAAATATTGAACAGTTGCAAAACATTGAGAGTTTACACATCGATTTACAACCTTATAAGAATCCACAATTCAATGGCAATCCATTATATTTTCAAAATATTAAAAAATTAGAAATGGTTTTCATCTATTCGATCTATTCGGGTTCAATAAAACCGATAATTCCATTTTCATTTGATCAATTAAAGGAATTTGGCATTGGTGGCATATCTGAATTTAACGATTCGATTTATGTGTTTCTTGTCACAAATCCATCGATCGAAAAATTGGTATTGACACAAAAAAATTTGATTCATAAAATAGACATTGTGAAATTACAGAATGCTTTGCCGTTCTTAGCGGAAATTGTTCTACCGTTTTCGGAATTCACAATTCATGATGCACTGTCGTTATTAGCAACGTTTGCATCGTTGAAACAATTAAGTTTCATTTGCACGGATTCAGAGGTGGAAGTTAGAAGCGTTTGTGGTGATAAATGGCAAATTGAAAAAACATTGAATCCATTGAAAGAAACAATGTTCACATTGAAACAAATTTAAGCAAATAATTAATTTTGCTTTATAACTCAGTCGATAATAAGTATTGTTATCAACCTATAAGATGTACGTAATCAGGTGATTGAATCGTTTTAAATAGTTTGACACTGACTGAAATTATTCTGCCATTAATTTTTTTTTTTTTTTCAATTTTTTCATTTTTTACGAGCGAATTGTATATTTTAGTATTAAAATAATAGTAGTGAATTTTTGCCCAATTTTTAGTTTGGGATTTAGTTAAGGTCAATTGTACAACCAGAAAACTGAAGTGCAAAAAAATATACTCTTTACTTTTTTAAATAAAAAATCTGAAAAAATACTGTTTGAAGTGAAATTTCGCTTGAAATTATTTCAGGTAGCACTAAATATGAAAACTTACATCCAAATTGTATTCGTACTTGGCAATTTGTTAAAATTATTAGAATATAACTATTTTATTATTGTTGATTAAATTCAATTACTTAAGCAATGCGAATGTAATTTTAAACAAATAGTATTGAATCGATGGAAAATATTTTTTTTTTTAAACCGATGAATGTCGTTTAATAATAGTTTATTAATGCAATTTTAAGTTACGTAATTTTGTATATTATAAATAAGAAAAAAGTAATAAATAAATAAATAATGTAACTGGTAATTGAAGTGTTCATTTAAATTCAGCAAACTATGTGTTTGTGTAAAAAAAGTCTGAATTCGGTGTGAGCGCCTGGTATTTCTTGTATACTTTACCGAATGACAATCCACAAAACGACCGCCATATTTAATTTGACATTTCAACATCAGATGCAATGAAGCCAATGCCGTCGACATATCTCAACTCCATACCGTTGTAGTAGACAACACTAACAGCATCAAAGTACACACAATCACAATAATAGAACAAATTGAAACGTCACATAAAAAACACTCGATTTAAATCGAATCCCATCGACCGAAATGTAGTATGTCTGTTTGCTCTTCGTTTGCAACACATACACATGACTCGCGCTAATCAGAGCACTCGTTTGTGTACGACCGAAATTGAAAGAATCAAAAGAAAAATATTAAACAGATGAATAAATAAAGTCAACACACGGCTAGTATGAATCGAGTTTAATTCAATCTCTGTGTTTGATTGATTAACAATCCCCCATTAAAGTGTAAATGTGCAAAGTGTGTGTATGCTCAGTGAATTATCGTGCTCAAAAAAATTTTTAGCGTGTCAAAAAAGCGATTTCAAATGAAACCATTTTCAAAACGGGGAGATTCCGATAAAAAGAGAACAGATACAGACAACAAAAAGAAAAGAAGAAATTAGCTCAAGAAGAGAGCCGAATTAACAATAGCATATTTCACATAGTAACAAATATGTTTAATTGCTTGCTCAACGTGTGAAAAGAAACCCATCACAAAAAACCTCACAAAAAAAAAGTCCATTGAAACAAAGTGATTGCAAATTGCAATCGATTTATTGGTTTAATTTCTGTGGTTTTCCTTGTGGCATTGATTCGAAATATAACTACATTAGCATCACAGAATTCGTTTTTGGATTCGTTGGTTATGAAAATTGTTGTTGAACAAAAAGGAAAACGAATTATTCCCAACGCGGAAACAACAACAACAACAAAATTACTTGGAAACTCTGGGGCGAATAAATAAATTTGCAGAAGTTTTGTGTGTTTGTGTGTGCGCGCGTGTATATATTTCTGTTTCTATATAGATAATGAAGTAGCATGTTACGAATGGCATGCGATTATTATAAATAATTGATTATTATAACTCTCATATGAAAACCAATAATGTTATTGGAACAAGCAAAGCAATTAAACTCAGCAGCTTATCTATGTGAAACGCAATCAAAATGCGAACGAAAAAGCCATTTCTTATCGCATTATTCCTATGTGCGTGGACAATTGTGTCCTATTATTTGTTGATACGTCAAACGGATTCCGGGAATAATGTAAGACCTGGTGATTTGGCACATCCACGACGTCATCGTGATGATTTACTCAGGCAATTGAATCGTCTTGAAACGAACATCCAAGAAGAAAATTTGGCACACGAACAATTGGTGAAGACACTACTCGAAGTGGTACAATTAAAAAATCAAAAGGATAGCGGTGTTGTACCCGTTCAGGCACCATTTTCTCTGCATAAAAATCAAACAAACAGCGTCAACAATGCAATTGTTGACAATTCAAAATTCAACGAGGCCAAAGCACATCCGATTCGTGATGGTGAAATCATCGTTAGTAATTTAAATGCACCAAATATTGACAATGAGCACAAACCATCGAACATGGAATTACTGTCGGACGATATTGATGCACCGATTCTAAATCGGTTAAAAGAGCTCAATAAACGTGATCATGACTTCAAAGGGCCAATTATACCTGTTCTAGTTTTCGCATGCAATCGCATATCAGTGCGCAATTGCTTAGATGATTTGGTTCGATACCGACCCAACTCTTATCAATTTCCCATTATTGTGTCACAGGTTGGTTATTTACAATTTCTTTTTTTTTTTAATTTCGCCACATTTTACTTTGGACCGTCTCAATTTTCAAGATAAAAACTATTATGATAAGTTTTAAATCGAAATTGGATATTTACACTATCGCATTGTGTAGGCACAATAAAATTCATATTATAGCCATCGTGTCATGTTATAACCAGGCAATATATTCAGCTGTCGTCATCTGGATATTACAGCTCATCTGGATATCGTCAGCAGATGATACAAAGTGAAAACAATAGAAGTGATTGTTATAGGTATATAAGCTTGTTATATACTGGTATTACTATTACAATCACTTCTATTGTTTTCACTTCGCATCATCTGCTGACGGCATCCAGATGAGCTGAAATATCTAGATGACGGCAGCTAAATATATTGTCTGGTTATAACAGCAGTCCAGTTATCATAACGCATATTGTATATACAGAAAAAATGGTGTTTTGATTGAGAACATTCGTTAAGCTGCATATCGTCCAGCTGTTTAAATACTTGTTTTGTTTTGCTTTAGAAGCTTTTTGACACGATCGATTTTTATTGTGTAAATAGACAAAAAAAACACGACAATTTTACGGCTTTTCTAGCACACTTTAATCGAACACAAAATATTGTTCTAGTTTTGTTTATCATTTTGTTTTACTCCATTCGGTGTAGGACTGCAATGACGAACCCACCAAAAACGTTATCGAATCTTATAAAGAGGTTACATTTATGCGGCAACCCGATCAAAGTGATATTTTCGTTTTACCAAAAGAAAAGAAATTCAAAGGATATTATAAGATTGCCCGGCATTATGGATGGGCACTCAATACTACATTCCGAGCTGGTTTTGAGTATGTCATCATTGTCGAAGGTACGTACACTCCAATTGTTTGTTTTTAATTTGCAAAATTTCGCAAAGCAATAAGGAAATGACAACGGAATTGCGTATGCAAATTAGTACGAACAAAAATCAGTAATATTTAAAATAATTTATTACGTGAACATATTCAACGCAATCAAAAAAATTTCAACTCAATTTTTGTTGTTTCGATGAGAAAAATGAAAACTTTGACATTTTATGAAATTATAATATGATAACACATATCAATCATTTTAAAAAAACAACATGAAAAATCATTATGTATTCGAAAAGTTACAACAACAAAATTATCTGCTCGAGATTCGGTTTTTTTACACTATATATAAAAATATAGTTCAAGATCACTTTTTTGTTGTTCCAAAAGGTTTGCTGTGTGTAGGAGAATACAGCTTCGAAGAATTATGATAAGACCGAACATAATAATTGCGAGAAATTTGATTTCGCTTCACATTCGGACTCAAATCTATTAAATGTCACATCCGATGGTGATCTCATTTTTTATACTATTTTAAGTTATCTTGAATTTTACTGAATTGTTGTTGACATTGCAGTATGCCGTTGCCATGTGCTAAACTAAACAATAAATATTCTTATGTCATGTGGTATTTTAGATGATTTAAACGTGTCACCGGATTTCTATGAATATTTTTTGGGAACACATGAACTTCTGAAAAATGATTCAACATTATGGTGCGTTTCTGCATGGAATGACAATGGCAAGAGCAGTAACATCGATGTAAACAGTCCAGAACTACTTTATCGCACCGATTTCTTCCCGGGACTTGGTTGGATGCTTAAGCGTGATTTATGGAATGAATTATCGGTGAAATGGCCTAAAGCGTGAGGTTTTTTTTTTCTTTCCCTTCTTAATTATCGTTTTATTAAACTTATATTAATATTTCTCATTTTCTCATAATACAGATTCTGGGATGATTGGATCCGACAACCACAGCAACGAAAAGATCGAGCCTGTATTCGGCCAGAAATATCGAGAACTCGAACATTTGGAAAAATCGGCGTATCAAAGTATGCAGTTATATGTTTGTTTATACTTTCAATCATTTAACGCCATTTCTCTTTTTAATTTCAGCGGAATGTTTTTTGATAAGCATTTGCGATATATTAAACTCAACACAAAAGTAGTTGAATTCACCAAAAGAAACTTAACCTATTTGTCAAAAGTACGTATGTGCGACTTTGTAGCAATTGTGAAATTGAATTACATTAATCATCTCTCTCTTCCTCTTTTTTTTCTCTCTCTCTGTTTGTCTCAATCGCTGTGTATATTTTAGGACATATACGATAAGCAATTTTTGAATCATGTGTACAATTGTCGGGTGGTCACATTTGAAGAAATACGACGTAACTTAGTGACGACAAAAGGTCCTGTTCGAATTCAATACAATACCAAAGATCAATACAAACGAACTGCAAAATTGCTTGGCTTAATGGATGACTTTAAGGTATGAATTCTCGCGATATATAATTAAAAATTGTTCAATTGTTCGAAATAAGTTGAATGTCATTTTGATTACAGAGTGGAGTTCCTAGAACCGGTTACATGGGTATCGTGTCATTCTTTTACAATAATCAACGTGTCTACTTGACCCCAAATCGAAATTGGAAAGGTTACGATCTCACTTGGAGCTAACGATCCGAAGCCAAACAATAACCCTATTTTATGTAGTATACAAATTAATAATGCATCTTCAAGAGAACGATAGCATGAGCAAAAAGAAACAAATTAATCTTTATATTTTGGTGCTTAAAACAGAAAGAAAGATATCAGGTCCAGTTTTTGTCTTCACATTTTTAGTTGCATTTTCATTTGAAAAATGCATTTTATTTAAATTATTATTTATTTTGTGAGATTTATCAGTCTCCATTCAATTAACTGTATAATTTGCTTCATACTATATGAAAAAAAATAACGAATATTTCAAGTAGAGTTGCTTTTCCACTAACTCTTATAAATAAGAAGATGAAAAATAAATGTCCTCCGAAATAAACCTTCGAACAAATCACAGAAAAAAAAGACACATTCAGATTTAAACATATACCGATACACACTGAATAAAGAAAATACTGAAAAAAGTTCATGTAAATATTAAACATAATTTATAAAATAATTTCACAAGCTAACTAACCAACTACAATGTAAACATATGTTTTTAATATTATTGTATTCTGTTTGGGTGTGTCGGCAATTGAAAAACTTCTTTTTTCGACATTCTTTTTTATACACTTTCCAAAAGCAACTACCAAAATTCTTACGTCATATTTGAGAATCGTGGAACTTTTTCTCGGCGATTTTTCTCATTTTATGAAGCTTTTGAAATAAAAAAGCAACAAGAACAATATACAATACATAATATTTAGAACAAAAACCACCAAATAAACTAACTACACAGACGGACTATTAAAAATAGTGAGAGAGAGAGAGAGAGAGAGAGAGAGAGAGAAATTTGAAGAAGTTGGAAAAAAACAAATGCGAACAAATAGAATTGTACAAAATAATGGACTTTGTTCTTTGTTTCGACAAATGAATATGCAATAGAGTGGTTCGATTTTGACATTTTTTCAAGCATCAAAAATCGTAGCCCTATAACCTCTGTAGGAATGTCATAGAAACATGACTATAACATCGATTTCGAAAAAAAATGATTTTTGGTGATGCGCGGCTCCAGGCGGTTTCTTAAAAAAATCAAATTTTTATGAATTTTGATGAATTTTGAGCACTTTGAAAATTCAACAAAAAATGGTCCCCCGGGGTGTTTTTGGCACGAGATAACCGATTCTGGCCTTAATTTTGTAATACAATTAATATTCGACACTTTTTTCATGAAAAAATCACAAAAAATTGGATTTTTGTATGGTACCACGCATGTTTGATGTTGTAATGAATGAAATTTCCTCAAAGTTGGCCAGATTATGTATTTTGGTGAGAAAATAAGATTCACAAGTTTTCACTGTGATTTGATTGCTGCAAAAAAAAAATCTTTCAAAAGCGAGGTAAAAGTCATAACAACCCCTTTATACGTGTTGTTTTCAATACCGTCAATTTTATGTATTTCAAGAATATTTTTATGAAAAAAGTATATATTTTTATCAAAAAAGTGTCGAATATTAATTGTATTACAAAATTAAGGCCAGAATCGGTTTTCTCATGCCAAAAAAACCCCGGGGGACCATTTTTTGTTGAATTTTCAAAGTGCTCAAAATTCATAAAAATTCATAAAAATTTGATTTTTTTTAAGAAACCGCCTGGAGCCGCGCATCACCAAAAATCATTTTTTTTCGAATTCGATGTTATAGTCATGTTTCTATGACCTTCCTACAGAGGTTATAGGGGTACGATTTTTGATGCTTGAAAAAATGTCAAAATCGAACCACTCTAATATGCAATGAAGTAATTTTTAGAATAGTTTTTAATGCCTGTGAATTCGATGAATCGAAACAAGGGTAGTAATTAGTTCAATTTGTAGATGAGAAACTTTGCGTTTGCCAAAAAAACAACAACATTTAATACAGATGGAATGAATAAAAGCGGAAATCGATATTCCACACTATTCCACACGACACGACTACGATTCTTTTTTTTAGTTTAATTTATTGTGCAACTGTAACTGGCTTACAGTATCAATTATTCTTTTGTTTTGTCTATGGTTTTTATTTTATTTTTAAATACTGTAACTTATTTTAATTTGACGCTTTGTCGTGCGATAATTTATAAACATCAAACAAAATATACGAACCGATCTAAATTAAACGTAAAAACGAATAACAATAATACTACTATGGAAATGACTTCTTTTTTTCATAGTTCATTTCACAATTTTCTGTTTTATGTATTTCGCAATAATTTACATTTCAATGAAAGTAGATGAGTGTATGGGAGATATAGCACTATTTTGTTTCGTATAATGAGCAAAAAAAATTGCAATGAAAATGTCCAATTTTAGCCTCTTTGGCTGTGATAAACAATAAAATAAACATTTGGAAAAAAATCTAAATATTTTATTTATCTAAACTGAACAAAAAAAAAAATATAAGAAATTTTAATCTAATCTCGAGGCTTTTCGATAACTGTAAAGTCGGTTGGATTGTTCTTGTTGAGAAAGTGACATCATGCATTCTGTTTTATTTTGTTATACATTTCTTCAATCTGTTTCCATGTATCAAAGTGTAATTCTTGCAACACATCACTTATCAAGGTGGTATTTAAATCATTGGTGATATCTTGAGCAAAAATTTCGTTCGGAGATGGGATTGGCTTGAATGGAGTATCGCCTTCGATTGATGGATTGCTGAAAAATATGGAATATTTAGCCGATAAAAATATGTAATATTTAGCCGATAACGTACCCAGTTCGTGCAAAATTCGTAACTATATTAACCAAACGCATGATTGTGTTGTAATTCACATTTGAACTGTTTCTGATTATTAGAGCTATTTTGTTTATAAAATCTATCGCATGACATCTGAAATTAAAAGTGTTATATAAATATATCATATTCATACCTATAATTCACTTTAAAAATCATCATTTACCCAAATAGATAACAAATCTCATCACCGTGAGCTGCACCGTTTGACTTTATTTGCAAAAGTATTTTGAATATATTGATGTCGCCGTTTACAGAGAATCTAATTAAAAGTAATATTGTTTATATTTGACCTTAAGTTTTAACTTCTCATTCATACCTGTACATAAATGTGTTTTTCTTGGAGTTTTCTTTGTTATTCGCTTTTACTTGGTATTGAACGGCTTTTAAAATGCCGTAACCGAAATTCAGATCCGAAAGCAAAGCGATATTTTGACTCTTTATCACATCAGGATCACTTGTTTCATTGTAATATGTTTTCTTCAATAGATCAAAAGCCTCTTTGTACTCCTGGAAAATGTATTATTTAAAAATAATTATCTATAATCGGGCATTGGTAGTATGAAAAAGTAACCTTTGGATACGTTTCTCGATCAAATCCGGCAAATGGCAATAATAATTGTGATTCATTCCAATTTCCACTGAGAAATGGTTCTGTATTACTTGCTAGTTCACGATTGAACGATAAGTATTCCTATTTCAATCGAATTTTTAAAAAACTTAATGTAAATGAAGTTGCTTAATTTCGTTGTCTAATACCTCAGAGGTGAAGCTGAACATTGTATCCATCACTGGTGCGTTTTTAGATTGGTAGATATCAACCGGAGACTTTGTTATGAAAGCTCGTTTTGCTTCTGAATTTTCAATCGTCGGAACCCATGGCGATTCCAATCGAAACAACCCAAAAGTGCTTATTTTAATAATCTTTGCAATAGATTCAGTTTCTACTGTCTTCAAGTGCTCAATAAGTTTATTTTTATCCTGAATTTTTAACAATGTTTGCATTCTTTCCAAATGATCTGGCTCGTACAATGCATAATAATTTAGGGCCGAACTACTTAGTAAAAATGCACGGTTGAAATACTTTCTCGACTCTTCATTTAGCATATGGAAATTCACTGATGCACCGCCTGTTTGATGATGTAACAAATGTATCAATAATTTTCGTTTTTAAGAATTGAAGTTAATGGATGATTACCAGCACTTTGTCCAAAAAGTAAAATCTCATCTTTTTTCCCCGAAAAATGTTCGATATTTTCATAAATCCATTTCATAGCCAATTGTTGGTCTTTTAATCCCATATTTCCGGTGTATTCACCAAAACCAAGATTCATAAAACCAAAAATGCCCGTACGATAATTCAATGTTACTACTATATTATCGGGATGAATCAGAAAATCAGGACCGTAAGTATTTGAATGTCCAGATCCTTCTGTGAATGCTCCGCCATAAAAATATACCAATACCGTTTTCTTTGCTGCACCACCATCTTATATTCAAAATGACGAGACAAACAAAATATTCGAAACTTTTTGAATAAATTTTTGATTTCAATTTTTATTTAATCGAATTTTTTTCACTTATTTTTTAGAAAAGTTAATCACCCAAAAAATCTTTTGATTGGCTTTTCCGAGATCACAATAAGTAATTTAGTGAAAGAGACTTACCTGGAACGTAAATATTAAGAAAGAGACAATTTTCACTAGTGTTCCCCGGTAGTCCTACTAATGTTGACGATGGGACACAATTATATCCAAAATTACGCACTTTTAGTGGGTCAGTCCATTTTCGAATGAGTGGTTCCGGTGCCTTTTAAAAATAGTTGTGAAAATTGATTCACAAAAATTTGAAATGCTCATTACCTTAAATCTACGATCGACCTCGGCACCAGTGTATGGATCTTTCCCAGTTATTGGCGCTTCAGCATATGGAATACCTTAAAAATGAAATGTACACATTTTTTTCGTTTTAATGTTGTGTAAACATGTGTTTATACATTTAAAAAGTTGAAAAAAGGAAATACATACATATTCTATATATTTTGTCGCACAAAGTTGATGGATTTTTTAAAAAATGGATATCCAATATTCCACACAGTTCAAATATAATTAAAAATAATAACAGAATATATCTCTGAATGAATACCTCTGAACGCATAATATTTTTTGCCCAGTAATGATGTTTGTTTAATGCCCTCAACAGGACCATTGTTTGTTTTTCTTATTGTAAGTTCGTCACATTGCACGGCTGACATAAGAAATGCAATTCTCATCAATTCACTAAGTAATTTCAACATGTTGTAAGCAAACTCGTGTTGAAGGAAAGTCTATAAATAAGAGACTAACTACAAAATCAATGATCACCTTATAGCTTTTGAAATTAATGTTTCATAATCTCACAAGTTCGAGCACTGAGATTTTCTAAACGATTCAGCTGTTATATAAAGGCATGAAGTTTATATTTGTAGTTATTGCCATTAATTACATGTTCGAATACATTTGTGATTGTGTATGAAAAATTTTTTCAAGAAATAAAAGTAATATAAATTGTGCCCTTGAGAAGATTGCGTGCAATAGTGATGGAAAAAAAATGAGAATGTGAGTTTAGTTGTGGATAGACCGAAGTTTTGCAAATTGTTTTTCCACTTAACAATGATCGCGGTAAAATTGTAATTTGTCATCAAACAAAAATAAATGCTCTTCAAATCATCTTCAATCATTGAAATATTTGGCGAATAGCAAAAATTCCGAAATCAAGATAATTGAATGAATTAACATTCTTTTTACGCAGAAATTTTTTTTTGAAGCTTAGTCACAAAATTCTAATACAATTAGAACGCGATAGAGTTTATACATCAAGTGTTTATGATGATTGTGTTGTAAATTAAAATAAATTCATTAAGATCTTTTCTCACCTACATATCAAACAAGTTATTTTACTGCAAAATGATTGCATGACTAATTATGTATGAGAAAAACACAATTCAAATAATTACTTACATAATTTTTACATAATAAAAAGTTCTTTGGCCGTATGGCTTAATGTTTAATTTGGAACCACCATTTTTTTTGAAGTCACTTTTTGAGACGAAAATCCCTAGCAAATTAAAAGAAATGAAAATGTTTTTATAACAGTAACAATCTTTTCTATTGTTTTCATTCCATTTCAGCGCCTGACAATAGCTACCTGAGCTGATTCTGCTTGAGGAATAATTAATTAGCGGGAAAGCACTTTCGGTTCTTTTCATGTCCTACCGAATGCCGAAAACTTGTACTTTCTATCTTTGCTGATGTTCTTCAAAATCGACGCACAACTATGTTCGAAAGCTTAATGAAAACAATCACGTTTCACATTAAGCAATAATCATAGATTCCAAATTTGGTTTTTCAAACGTTTTGCTTTGTTAATCATTGGATAAGCATTATCTTTTGAGATATTTGCATTAGATCTGACTCATTTTTCTGGATTTTTCTTTACTTTTCAGTTTTTAGTCACATCCACAAATAAATTATTCTTAATTTTATTTTGTGTCACTGCTGTATAAAGATTTTGAAATCACATGTTATCTATAAAATGAAGTAAATTTTAAAATATTTGTGACTATACACTCAATTCATACAAAACTGTATATATTTGAAGTGTTTTTTCAAGTGCTGAGCCCCTAAGCGAATAATAAAGCGTTTTTAATTGTTTGAAAATTGTTTTGTTTACAGGTTTCTCTGCTAGTTTAATGCAATTCATTAAAATTCATTGAGCGAATAGAAATACTCAAAAAGAATAAAGCATCGTGACGACACTATTATTTTACTCTATCTGAATTATTTGGAATATGAAAATTCTATTCATTTTATCTAAAAAAAAAAAAATCAAAACAAAATACGTAAATGCGAAATAAGCATATATACTTGCAAGATTTCATGGAACAGCTCTTACATATATAACATACCTAATAAATAAAAAGCTCAATGGTTCATTACCATATTTATTGCGTTTCTCATGATATTTATCTATCGCTATAGCGATAGGCGTTATATGGGCCCATATAACTCATTTGCGGAGTAATTTTGTCGATGGCGGGACTGTGCGGAGTTCGGCGGAGATAGCATGCAAATGATGTGTGTACGAGTTCAACGAGTTGGGAATTAATTGTATCTTATATCATTTTCGTTTGCTTATTATATTTTTATTATATGTCAGAGTTCTCATTATATCTCTTTAATAAATATATCGAT